CTCAATTATTCCAGCATACTTTATGGATAATAATATATGGTCAATTGTATTAATAGTTTTTCCTTTTTCCTCTTTTTTAAAATCTTTGATAGGTAGAGCTCCACAATTCCAGGTTATTATGCACCCAGTTATTTGAAGAATGCAGAAGATTGAAACCCCTTCTTTTTTTTTTTTTTTTAATTTGTGCAAACAGTGGTAAGATTTTATATGGCATTACTGTCCCAATATGATTGTTTTGATTCAGCTCAATAGAAGTTCCAATATAAAAATATTTTTTTAAAGATACCTGTTAACCAGTGCAAAAGATATTGGTTTATGTTTTGTGTTATTTGTTTGTTTGTTTCTTTTTCTTTGTACATCTAACAGAAGTGAAATGTTATTTGAATGAAGATCATAATTTCTGTTTGAGCTACTTCTAAATGCAACATATCTAGCTTTCTAAGGTTCTAAATCCAAATCTGAAGTATCATGTAGTATGAACTTGTAGAGGGAGAAAGGTAAAACAAAATGGAGTATGAAGATGGAGTAATCTTGGCATTTTCAAGCAACCATAATGTTAACAAAAGCAAATTAAATTAGGCTAGCTTAATTCCTGGGGGGTAGAATAAGACTCAAGAAAAACTTCTGGCATCATTTACTGATAGTTGGTCACTGAATTAAAAGAGCTTCCACCTACTTCTTCCTAGATATGTACTGTGACAGGTTAATTATATATCTTGGCTGTCATTAAAATATTAGTTTTCCATATTAAATGTGATACCCTCTCAAGCGTCTTAACAGTAACATTAGATCCCCCATATGCATAATTATCCATTTATCTTATCTAATAATGGATAACCTGCTGAACTACTCAACAGTTGGGGGAGAAAACAACTTCATAGTTAAATGAATTCAATATATGATCTGGATTATACAGTATCATACATAGATGGAAAGAATCTTCTAGAAAGTAAATTTGAAAGTACCTTTACATCATGTAACCCAACATGATTTGATCCCATTATTGAATTCTTACAAATATAGGGTCCCATCAAATTAGTATTTTGATTTTCCATGTAACCCTAATTAAAACTAGAACTTTTGGAGAGAAACATTAATGACTAAAGATATTTTAATTATATCTAGTCATGAACAGAAAGAGAATGCTGGTAATTACAAAAACTGCAGTTGTCCCCTTCTTTTACATTAATTAAAACCTGAGGATAAAATCTTAACTGCAGTTTCATTTTCTATTTTTGTTGAATAGCAATCTTTAGTCTCCATACATGGGGAGTAGATGAATCATTTATTATAGGTCTGTTGTACTGACAGTCAACGGATTGAATGAGCATCATTTAGTTTTCGGAACAGAAAATTGTAGTCCAACTAACTTCCTTTCTTTTATTGTGTTGGAGAAAATTATAAAATGAGAAACATAGCCTTAGCATGCAAAATACTTGTTTGCACACTCTAATATCCTAGTAGTAGTTTCCCTACATATTTAATTAACCCAAGATCTGAAACTAATTTAACTACTATAATCCTGATACAAAGCCAAAACAACTTGTTAAAATGAGAAAAAGATAAAGAGAACAATTCACATCTGCTACTTGGTAAAACCTATTGTGTTGACTTTAAAGTACAAAATAACTTAGATGAACAAAAATTATGAAGAAAGCTTGAGTTGCCAATTGGAATGTTAAGGATAATATCTTAAGTACTTGATTAATTTTTCAGTCAATTTATGATCTTTGAGGTATGTTTATTTTTCAGACAAGAAAGATGGTCACTTTAGTAATTTTCTTTACTTACATCTAAGCAAAGTGGGGTAATACTTATCCGAGTTCATTATTCAGCAACTAGCATGAAATAGAGGCTGTAATTTGTAAAGAACAAGATAGTTAAATTCATTAGCACAATGAATAAACAAGAAAACTTGTAGCTAATGGCAGGGCTTTGTCAATTTGACTCTTTCTTTGAGTAGACTCTTATCTTCTCTAGTTTAACTTGCTTTTCTAGTTTATATGTCCCTTTCAATAAGATGAATGTCGGCAGCTGGTGACCAGTTTTATAATTAAGAATTGCATCAGAAATAGTTCATCAGAAATGCAAACAAGGGAGTGCGTTAAAGTACTCTTGTTTTTGTAGATGATGAAAATGTCATCAATGGGATGAATGTGGTGTTCTTTGATTGGAAACTCAAACCAATTTGATATTATCTAACCAGAGAGGAGGTGCAACCTTTTGAAAGTTAGGTCAAATGGCACCTATTTCGCGGAGGACAATGTGTACCCCACGACAGGTACATGCAGCTAATAAAAAATTCAGCATTTTAGAATTGGAAAGCGAACATGCTCTCAAATTTCAATTGCTGATGCATGATTCTCCATTATCGATGTTAAATAAATTTATCTTTTGCTTTTCATTATTATACTGCTTAGGCTTTATTTGGGTGGTCCACATTTCCTTAATGCCAAGTTTCTATATTCCCTCTTCAAATTATTATAGTTTATTAGCCTGTATGTTCAACTTTTTAGGAGAGCTAGGGCTACAAATATTGGTAAAACTACACTCAGAAAGACAACTAGTGCAGGAAAAGGAGGAGCTATTTGTTGTTTGGCTATGGTTAAAAGTTATTTTAATAAAGAAGATTTAATTAAATCTGAAATGGGCTCCATTACCATCACTGCTTTGCCATTGGAAGGTTGTATATATGCAAGTAACTAGGTAAAAACACTAAGGTTCATTAACACTGTCATCATGTGAGTCCATGTGAGGAGGGTCCTTGATGTTTGCTAAAACTACAGAATCCTTGAGTGTTAAGAAAACAGCCTTTTTAGGGACATTATACTGATCTTTTGCCAAGTTCTGTTAATCACCTTCCTTTAGCTTAACAAATTGTAATAGGATGATGACTGTGGAAACCTAGTTGTACCTTGCTAGATTATATTCGCCAAAGCTTTAAGATTCTTATAGCTAGAGGACAATTTCAAAAACCTGACTTCAAGAAAACAAAGATTCTAATTTCATTTTGTTGCAGATATATCTTATTACTTATTACTATGCGAACATCTTTCGCGTTGTCCACATCATAGTGAAATCATTCACCATTCAACATTCATATACTACTGAGGACTTTATCATTACTCTTGACATATTGGCTCATGTTGAGATGATAGAATTGCACCCTAAATTTATTACTGGAAAAAGTAATTTTTATCCTAGCTGCTCTAGAAAAGCTGTAATTGCATGGTTTGAATTCTCTGCAGCATGTCACCAAGGACAGAAATATATCTCAATGAGCATTTGGAACTTAAGAAGCAGCCACCGCCATCAACCTTTTTATTGGTCCAGTAATACCAAGTTCCACGATTTTTTCCTTTTAAACTTGTGCATATGTAAAATTTTAATGCATCATCACCATGCAGTTTCATATTTTCTGAAGAAAGTTTCGTTTCCTTTTATGTTCTTTTTTGCTGATTTGCAGACTGAATAGAAGAAAAGCAATCAAATAAGTTAGATTTCCAACAATGTCACTGCTGTATTGAGAATGGTTTAAAGATAAATAGAAAGGAAGCAGACCAAACCAGAAATCAGGAACCTTAAATTTATCCCAAATCCTTAATCGTTGAAAATTCTATGGGGGAGTGGCATCAAATGTTTTTAAATAGCTCAAAATTCGAGGACGCAAAAAAAAAAAAAAAAGAAAAGGAAACTGTTGTTATTGTTATCTTCACCGGAGCCACTGCGACTGCAAAGAAGAAGAAATACATTCCTTCTCATAATATTTTTGTTTTTATTTCATTTCCCCACTGATCTCTGGCTTTCTTCTCTTTTTAATAATTTGCATAGCATCGGCCATGAAGCCTTGACCATTCTTGCTAACCCACTTTCCAATTAAAAGCACCCCTTTTCATTGCATTTCATATAATATTGAGCTTTGAAAGTAGTGGAAATGGAGGAAAAGTGCATAAGAAAGAGAAGAAGTAGAGGCTTATGTCATTAATTATTATTTTTTTTTATATAACATGTCGCAAATTAGAGATAAAAAAAGGGGTTATAGGTGTTAGGGTTTGAAGTAAATATGTTGAATGTTATCTCTTAAGAGAACAACAAGAAATCATGAATTAATTTAATTAAACTTCGAGTTTTACATCTTTAATTAGTTTGGGCCACAAAGTTTCATACTTTTTCATTCTAAACTTTGTAAATATTAATTGAAAATAAAACTTATAATAGCAACTAGCAACATAATTGGTTGAGCTATATTATAACAATAATTTTTTTTATACATACCTTATAATTTTCTTATAGATAAGAAAGATTAATAAAGTCATATCAATCAATGTGATTAAAAAAATAAATATATGTATAATTCCGTAAAACACGGATATTATTGAAATTTAAATTTTTTATTGAAAATCGAAACTCTAGATATATAATAATTTATTTTTCACCTCAAGTCAATGATTTTATGCACAATCATGCTAAATATACATTTGATTATCAATTTAAAACTTGTTGGTTGAATTAGAATTTGATACTTGATCCCTTTGATTTTGTGAGCAATGAACTAGCTGGTTATTTAATTACTTTGCTATTGCATGGCACATTCATAAACAACTTTAGAAATTAATTAATTAGTATCTTTGCAGTCAAATCTTAATTTGCTTGAAACAGAAAATTATGATATAAAGATCATATATAATATAACTAATTAATTAGAATTATTGGAGCAGTTTTTGTATCCTAAAGTTGAATCCATCCCTCCTGTATGTGATATATAAATAGGAAATGGAAGCGACATATAATTTGGTGGAAGCATACAAAAAAATGTCATTATAGCTAAAGGAGATCACTGATTTCCCTCTTTTTCTGCAATTGTACAGTAGTAAAAAATTGGAATTCAAGCAATATGATGCAAAAAAAAGTGTGAAATATGTATATAATTTAATTGAATATTTTCAATAATTATAGCTTAATAAACAAATTATTTAACCTTTTACATTTTCTAGCGGAATGTTAATTAAATTAAACAATTATGACAAAAACGTTGGAAGAAGATGAAGATCATGAAAGATAGTGAATTGCAGTGAAAAAGAAAGCAATTACAAAGACAATCTGTTGGTAATTGGCAGAAATTAGAACTTGCAGAAGAATCAGCTACAAAATTAAGCGATTTTAATTTTTGTCATTGGAGGAAAACTAGATGAAACCATTAATCATGGAAGTTTCTTAGTAAAATGGAAAGAAGGATGATAACAATATCTACCCAGTTTTTGATATAACCCAGGGGTGATTCTTATTTTTCTATCTTTGGATTTAGCAAACATTTTTCCCGCACTTGCACTAACATCATCAGCTGAAAAAAATGGGATAGAAAAAAAGGAAGAACAAAGAGAAACGAAGGGTAAGAAACTAAACATTTTATTCAGCAAATGTAAGTCATGAAAGCATGCATATCTGGTTTGCTTTTACAAAATATTAATGGCCTAGAGTTTCTTTCTTTAATATATAATATCTCTCTCATTAGAACAACTGAATTAGAAAGTAAATACCTGATGAATAATCCCTTTCCTCTCACAAGCATGTTCTATTTTTCTTTCTCTTTTCCTCTTTAGTGATATGGTGGCCTTCCACCGTGTGCCCAAGCATATGCCTCGTGGTTCAACTGTCCACCATTAGGAACCAAATTTGGTGGCAAATTACTATATACTGGGAATCCTGAACCATCACCACCACCAACACCTATCCCACCTTGCTGATGCCCTCCACTTGCACTGCCAATCCCCGATGGCGACCCGCCACTCCCTCCTCCACCACTACTACCACCAAGTTGCCCTTGAGCCCCACCAGCTCCCTCTTCTTCCTCCTCCAAAGGCAACCTCTCATAAGTAGCATTAGAAAAAGTTGCTGCTATTACCATAACAGGCCCTGATGCAACCAGTGACCCTGCAACACTACCACCAACCACCTGCCCTTGCCCAGCAGCTAGGTATATTGTTAACCCGGTTGACCCTGGAGGAGATGTTCCAGGCAAAAAAGCACCAGTTAAAGACAAAATCTCAAACCTGCCATGAAGAGCCATGACTGCACCAGGAGCTGAAGGTTGCCTGAGTGTCACGTTGGTGACAGTTCCACTTCCACTAAGAACACAAACTCCCCTTTGCCTTCTTCTAGCAAACTGAGCTAGGGTTTCAGCTACATCAGAACCGTTTGATATTTCCATAACGTGACTTCTTAGGGCATTAGGGCTATCTCTGGTGACGAAAATAGGTGGTTTGGGCTTGTTTTTGGAGCCTGATGGACGACCTCTAGGACGACGAGTGGAGACTTCGATAGCTCCTTCTCTAGCCTCATCGCTGTGCTCTTTTTCTTCTTCTTCTCCAGTTCCTCCACTTCCAGTTTCTCCATTGTTTGTCATGGATATACCCAGATCTGGTTTCTTCATTGGAGATGATGAAGTAGCTGATGTTTCCATTCCTTGTAGTCCTATTTGCCCTGCCCACCATCGATTAGCCATGACTTTGAAGTTTTTGAACTATAACAAAAGAAGATTACAAGGCAGTACAAAACTGGGTTGGATCTTGTTTTGCCTGATGATCTTGATGAAGGACGATCAAAGGTGGAATAACAAGAGAAAGATGGAAGAAGCAAAGAAAATTTCAACTCTCTAGAAAAGATAGCTGAGAGAGAGAAAAAAGCTAGTGGAAAGAAGTGAAATTGAAACTGATCAAAACTAAAAAATTGAAAAGGGCGAAGGGCTAAGAGAGAGGTCCAACAAATGAATAAAAAAAAAAAAAAACTGGAGATTGATATTGTTTTCTTAGAGAGATGTATAGAAAATTTTCTTTTCTATTTCCAAGAATTTGTTGTATTCCTTTTATCTTATTTAAAGGGTGTTTTTGCCTTGGTTTTGGCTGTGTCAAGGTCTTAGGGAGCTGTGGATTCTTTGTATTTTCTATACAAATTTCTCTGATTTCTCTTTTTTTTTTTTTTTTTCTGGTTAGCAAATTAATGAGAAGAAATTAATTCAATGGAGGAAGAGATGGGGAAATTTTGGGGTCATTCAGGTGCGGATGAGAAAGTGGGGTGCACGTCTTACTTCTTTCTCTTGTCGCGACATTGTGTAGCTGATGCAAAAGATAAATGTAATATTTCAATGGCATTTCCATTGCCACTGCCATTGCATGTTGGAAATGATATCATATGTGTGTGTATGTATATGTGTGTATATATATATATATATATATATATATTGTATTCATTGGATTTTGTCTTCTATGTTATTGATGACATCTTTTTATGAAATAATCAAGCAATTAATTAAATGAACTTCATCAAGTCTTCAACTTAATTATTCAGTAGCAGCAGATGTAGAAATTATACACAAAAGTAGAGATTAGTACACTAAACTAGCATATTTGACAAGTTTTTGAATTGCAAAAGCTGTGCTTATATTGCTACAATTTGCATTTTCATTATAATTGTAACAACATGAAAGTCAGATCGAGTTTATTTAGTTGATAAAGAAAAAAAAATCCTTTCTTTCTCAACGAGAATTCGATCTTTAAAAGGAGCTATTTCAATTGATAAAGGGTGTTCTCATAAATATTTAGCAATTCCTTATTTACTCAAGAATACAAGAATGAAATTTCTAAGATGACATTTCCAAATTTAACCATTAGAATGTCCTCTTAATTAAGAACTGAGATTATTGCAACTCCATATATATAATTAAGATTACAGCTCCACATAGGGCAAAAACATTACCCTATTATATAATGGCTGAGTCTTTCATCTAAAACATTGACAATTATAATTCCCATTTTAGTATTTTAAGTACCCACTTCCTCTATAATGTAATATTCCTTATTCATTAGTATTGAAATAGTCAAACTTTTTGAATATACGTATTTTGCTTTGAAGTTAAAGTTTAATTCAATTGGTCCATACATTTATTTTTATGTGTATTATCATATTTAGGATTTAAATATTAATACCAATAATATTTTCTTTTATTTCTAGAATGCGATCTCTTTTATATTAAAAAAAATCTAATCTAATCTAACTTCAATAAATATTTAATAATGTAGCCGGTACACAAAGCTTTATCTAATTCTCTTCTAATTAATTAATTGATTATTATTTTTTTTTTTCATCAAGTTCCTTGTAGAGAATGGTCAAAGTATGATGTTATAATTATTAATTAAGAAATGGTTGGAGTTTGATTTATAAATATAGTGTTCACATCACAAGTTAAGCCACTAACAGGCTGAGTAGTTGAACCTTCACTAGGAACTACTATTTCTTTAAGTAATCTGCTAAACTAAAAAAATTAGACTTCGTTGACCAGTAAAGCTCTCATTAACATTCAAAGTTTAATCAACAAGGGTTCTATCTCTGTGCTTCAATTCGTACGGCATACCCCTGATTTAGAATTTAGAATTTATAAACTATGATCTGTTAGGAAAATGTTGATTTTTTTTAAAATTTTGTAATCATAATTTAATCTTTGATAATTTTAGATATATATATAATTATAATATGTGACAATTTTCAGGAGTAAGCCTACATATATTGTATTAAATAGGTTCAATATGTGGAATTTTTGGCACGAGAGAAAAGAAAATTCCAATTTTTTTTTTTTTTAGATGATGCTAAGTTCTAAATTATTTGAAGAAACAATGCATCTTTCAAGCTTAGTTTCTCTTTTCTTACTTATAGGGATGTAAGCAAATAGAATATTTAACGAAAATTTCATAAAATTTTTTTATTTTTATTCATTTATTAAATTTAACATATAATCATGAATAATATTTTAAGATTCATTAATTAAAAAAATTAATTACGACCATAACAAAATTTATTTATATTTAGGTTCCATTTGGAGCCTAATGAGAATATTTTTATAGTATAAAAAAAGAAGCATATTTTTTCTGCAATGTAAAAGAAATATATCATCTATAATTTTTTTTATTATAATATTATAATTGTTCAATTACGTTAAAAAATTATTTAAAGGTCTATTATTTATAAATATGAATTTTACATAAAATTTTTATAAATTTTATATAATTTTAAATTATAATTAATTAATTATATTATAATAATTATATATGAAATACTAAAAAAATACTTAGTATGACTATGATTAGTTCACGATGAAGCATTAATAAAGAGTGTGGAAATGCCAGAGTATGGCCCAATTCGAAATCACAACCCAAAGCCCATAAAACCCAAAATCTCTATGTATTTTTCTAATTAGATTTTCATTTTTTTTTTCAGTGTCCAACACCAAAAAAATATATAGAAATAGTCTTTTATTCTAAAAAAAATAAATAAATAAAAGAAAAGAGAAAGAGAGAGAGAGAGGAAGAAGAAAAGAAAAAACTTTCCACTGCATATTTTCTATAGAATTCAAAAGAAAAATCTTTCGAGTTCTGAATTTAATAAGCCATACCGCAAACAGAAAAAGAAAAAAAAAAATTTGGAGATTGTTTGAGGAAAAATGGGTGACAATTTATTTGAAGGATTACCTCCTCCTTCTCATCAACAGCAAGCAGAAGAAAAACAAGAAAAACACGAAGAAGAAGGACAACAAGGCAGAGATCAACTTTTTTCTTCTTTGAAGACTAGTAGTAGCAACAATAGCAAGGAAGCTTCTCTAAACCCAGTTCTTAAAAGTGCTCTTAAGAGACCTAAGCCTGCAGAACCTAACCCTGAAGGTGAATTATGCAATTCTTATTTTTGCTTTTCTTTTTCTGGAATGGTAAATTTATATTTTTATTTGATTTTTAATTCTGGGTGTTGCAATTTTATTTACTACTATGAAGTAGAAATTGAAATGGGTTTCGCTTTTTGGATGCTAAGAATGTGTTTTTAGATGGTAATTTTGGGATTTTGCAAAGAATTCAGTTCAAGTTTCTTTTTTTTTTTCCTTTTCTGTGGTAATTTTAATTATGAGTTAGGGATTAATGAGGCTTGAATACTGAAAGTATTTTTGTTCTCATGTATGAGGTTAATATGTTTGGCATTTTGGAAGAAAGTGCTTTGAGAATGATAATTGAGTATGACCTTAGGGTTTTATGGATATGCACTTGCCTGAGCATTTTATTCTTTGGTTTATGAGAGAGACTAGGTGGAGAACAGAGGTGAAAATTTTGGTTTCTTGTCTTCAGGTGTTTGTAAAAATAGAACTTGAAAAGGAAGAAGAAATATAAGACTTGGCAGATTGATTTGACCACGTTTAATGACTTAAGATTCTAGTTATATTCATTCCAAGTACAACATCGATATATGCTGTCTTATGTATATGGTATTTACTCGTTATGATCTGGTAATTTTAGCTAGTGTTTTAGTTTTCCGATTGAATGATCAATAGTACATTAGATAGTTTTATTTCAATCATGGGAGAGGGGGAAAGGGGGCAGGAGAACGAAGAAAGTGGGGTTTTGTGTCATATTATTTTAATTATATGAGACCTTGGAAATGAAAATTCATTTTTGGCATAATAGAACTCTCAAGCGAAAGTACTTGTGTGCTATTAGTTATTTGTTTGTTATTTATAATTCTCTTATTGTGTTATTCTACTTTTTCTTATTTTGGCTAAAATCTTTCTGTAATTAGCTGATTAGTTATGCATTGTGCTTCCCAGCTGCTGCAATAGAAAAGCGGTTGAGATTTAAGATGACCACAGATGCCTCAGAGACACAAGTTATCGAGGCAATGCAGAAGATTGCATCACATATCAAGAACCCCACCAAGTTTGCTAAGGCTTCAAAGCTTGCCATACAGTTGATACAGGCTGGAAGTGTGAAGGCAGGAACTAGTGAACACTTTTTTGCTATACTAGAGGCTGCAATGTCATCAACAACTTCTTGTACTGATCCTTCAGTGCGAGGAGATTATCATTCGCTGTTCTCAGCAGCACAAGATGCAGCTGAAGTATGATTTTAGTTTTTCTTACAAATATATGTTGGCTTTTGTCCCTTGAGAATTGTCTTATATTCTGTTTCCTTGCAGTGCTTAAACAAGAAGCAGAAGAACCAACTGACAGTATGGACATTCAGGGCGGTGATGGCAAATGACTTATTAACTGATGACAGCTTTGTGGTATGTACTTTACTTTTAGTTTTAATTTGTGCTTTGTTGCCACAGTATTGTCAGTCATGAGTTATTTGATCTTCTGTGTACATCGTGGTAACAAATGTGAGTATTCCTTGTGACATGCAATGCAGAGACAATTATATGCAGTCTAATGTTTGTTTGTGTGTGTGTGTGTTCGGAGATATGAAAAGCAGGAATTTTGCAATAGTTTTAGTGGTGTTGTGGTGTAATTTTATTGATACGGTGAAACATAGATTTTCTCGTAAATGTGGCTTTAGTGAAGGTTGTTTGGTTGACTAAAATGTTTTTTGACACTACTATATCAATTGATTCCCTTTTCTTGGTCGTACAAAATTTGTTACTGACAGTGTGTTTATGTGTTCGCTCTTATAGTTTTCTAAAACTGCTAGTAAATTAAAAGATGCTATATCTAGTCTTCCATTTGCGACCGAGGATGATGACATGGATGAAGCTGCTACCCTGAAAGGTGAGACTGAAATTGGCAATGATGAAAATGACAAGAAACAAGCTATAGTTGCTCCAGCTGAAGAAAATAACAAGGATGCATCTGATCCTTTTGGACTCGATGCTCTGATTCCTAGATCTGGGAAAAAAGATGATAGAAAAGTAAAGAAAGATGTGGCTTCCAAGAGTAAGGAGGATGAGGAAGAGACTAAGAGATTTCTCAAGTCACAGAGAGAAGCCTTAATTACTTGTTTAGAGATTGCTGCTCAACGTTATAAAACACCATGGTAAGCATTAGTTGTTTTCTGCTGCTATTTGAAAGAAAAGGAAACTCTGCTTTTAGTTGCTTATGTTGATTTTTGTTTTAGGAGATTAATTGCATGTTTAATTCTTCTTAGGTGCCAGACAGTTATAGATATCTTGGTAAAGCATGCATTTGAAAATGTAGCAAGGTTTACATCTCAACAAAGGGCTGCCATTGAAAAGCTATGGGCTTCTGTTCGGGAGCAGCAAATACGTAGGAAGCAAGGGAAATCAGTTACTGGGAAACTTGATGTGAATGCTTTTGAATGGCTTCAGCAAAAGTATTCTACTGAGAAAATTAGTATTAGGCATTCTGTTGGAGCTAGTGGGGATCGTCGTTGTCAGCAGTGGCTTGGTTAATGCCCTTCTTTCGTGTTGTCCAGAGCAGAAGCATTACCGATCTTAACTCTTACCCAGAAAACAAATTGAAATTGTTGATTGATCTTCTGTTAATCTGAATATAATATGTTTTAAGTGTCAAAACATTTTTAAACGATACAATTCATATAGATATGGATATTTATTCTCCTTTTTTTCTTTAAACTGTACACATTTTCACCATATTCTTGTGTCAAGCACAGCCAATTGGTTCCTACCAGTAATCTCCACAGGAACAGGTTCCTTCTCTGAAGTGGTGAAAGCGCTTACGATCCCGTACTATTATTACTTTCTGATAGATTTTAACAGCAGCTTAGTTGCAGAGTGACAATCGTTGCAAACTCGGAGATTTTTCACAATCCGAATTGGGGTGCCTGGAGCTGTGCTAATGAGGCCCAAAGCCATTGCCAACTTCTCACTGTGATAGTTGAGGGCAGTTTCTTTCTCTTCCTCATCTATATTTTTTTGGACAGCAGAGGTGTCTGCCATGTACCCTGCCTCCTTCAACTTCTTCCCTATCTCAGATACCATATCATTATCTTTTCAACATGCAGTTGTGCCTTATCTCCCGTTACGAACTCATGAACATATCCATTTACTTCGATAGAGCTGAGCCCTGGTTCCTTCTTCATTCCCTTTTTCTTCATTGCTTTTCGCACCCCTGCAACATCATTTCACCTATTTGCCACTGCATATATATTTGACATTGAAACATTTTAACCACAGTTTTGAGATTCCAGGTAAACAAGTTGCCTTGCAGCCATTTCCCCTAATACAGTATTCTTGTGAAGCCTGCAAGCATCAAGAAGAGCACTCCATATAATGGTGTTTGCCCTTGTTGGCATGCTTTTGATAATCTCATAGGCCTCATCAAGCATTCTTGCTCGACCAAGAAGATCCACCATACACCCGTGGTGTTCAATCTTTGGAACCAAGCCAATTTCCTGAACCATTTTCTCAAAAATTAACTGTCCTTCTTCCACCAATCCTGCCTGGCTACAAGCATAAATGTGATATCATTAGGCCTAGCACCCACTCTTTCCATTTCGGAGAATAGCTCCAAAGCCTCCTTACCACAACCATGCATCCCAAATCCTGCCATCATTGTGTTCCACATGCCAATATCTTGATCTTTAGATTCCCTAAACAGTTTCCAAGCCCCATCAATGTCACCACACTTGGCATACATTTCCAATAGTGCGGTTTTTAATATCTTATCCGTTTCAACAACTTGCCCGACTATGAAAGTATGAACCCATTTGCCCAGATCAAGGGCTCCAACCTCTGCACACAGTAAAAGTTGTTAGGCCAAAAGAACTCGATTAAATCACATAAGTGAAAGTGAAATCAAATAATGAATTAAACACATAAAAGATAATAATTTAATGTAATTTGATTAAATTGATTTACGTTTATAAATGAAAAACATGATCCATTAATTGTAAAAAATTACAAACATACATCAAAATATATTTACCACTCAATAATCAATACTCATAGATTTTTTCAATCTCTTCTAATCTTATGGAATATTCTTAACCTAAACAAACATATATCCATGTGCACCCCTTCAACACAACTAAACGCATACCCATATGCACCCATATATCACATTTACGTGGACCCTCTTAATCTTCTCACAAACAAATATACATACCCGTAAGATGTAAATATTTAGTAATCTTATGAGGTGTCTACTTATAAAACCCTACAACTCTCTTACATATTTTTTTCATACCTAATTGAGAGAGATTTCATTTATTTATAATCATACAAACTTAATTATTAAAAATTCTTCTCCTTTTAAAATTCTTGTTATGCAAATCAAATTTATCTATTAAAAATTTTTTTATTTTAAAATTTTTATTCAATAAATCCATCAAATAATATCTAACAAATTCTAAATAAATATCTTATAAAATTTAATTCATTATTCCTGACAGAATAGCCATTATTACTTGGTTAGGTCTCACTCCACTGTCCCTCATCTTGACAAAAAGATCGAAAGCCTGATCAATGCAATGAGCTTGTGCATAAGCCGCAATCATAGCACTGCAGATGACAGCATCTCCGTTCTTAATTGTGTCAAAAACTGCCTTGGCTTTCCTTATCTCCCCACATTTCCCGTACATATCAACCAAAGCAGTAGCAAGAGCCAAAGACACAGATCCTATTTCTCAAAATATAAGCATGTAGTTGTTTTCCCAGTTCTAAAGCCTCCACAAAACTACATTCTACAACTAAGCTCAGCAAAGTAATCTCATTTGGTTTTATCCTTTCTTTAATCATTCTAGCAAAAAGATTCACTCCATCTTCTAATTTATTGCAATGAATGTATCCAGCTATCATAGCAGTCCATGAAATAATACTTTTTTGGTTCAATCCATTGAAAAGCAGTCTTGCAGAACCTAAATTTCCACTTTTGGCATACATATCAATGAAAGCAGTAGTTAAATGAACACTCATTTTCTCAAGATTCCTTGCAAAATAAGCATGCATTGCTTTTCCCATTTCAATACCCTTGAGCTCTGCAAATAAATTAATCATACTAATCATGGCAATCTCACTAGGTCTTATTTGTAAAATTTGCATCTTTCTTATAATCTCCAATGCTTCCCCATACAATTTACCTCTAACATAGCTTCTAATCATTGTACTCCAAGAAACAACATCTCTCTCATCCATATTATCAAATAATAATCTGGCTGACACCACACTCTCACATTCACTATACATTTGTATCAAAGCATTACTTACAAAAACATCTTGAATCAATTCATTATTCACTGCAAAACCATGTATTTCTTTGCCCAACTGGGTCATTGAAACAATACTGCAAGCTTTCAGGACTGCAGGCACCATGAAGTTGTCAACTTCATAGTCCATTCTTCTCTAATAAGCATAGATGTCAAGTGCATTGTGGGGTTGGCTGTTTTTAGTGTAAGATGTAATAAGGAAATTTAATTGTGCCAAAGGGCTAAACTTGGTTTGGTTGAAGTGGGTTTTGACCATAAGAGCATGGACTTGCCTGGTTTGTTCAGGGACGAAATGAATCTGAAATGGGCTTTGCTGCTGGTATTGAAGCGTTCCAGTCTTTGTGGAAGCTAAGAGGGCAGGAGAAAGTAGGCTGCTTTGTTGTAGCTATTGTCAGGTCCATGGCTTTTAGGCTTTCGTCACATCCTTTTGGAGTCTGAAGTGAATACTTTACTTCATCGCCAACCAAACGTTCGTTATCTACACAAAATATCTGTTCTTTTATCTAATGAAACTTCAGTTTTCTGACATCTTGTTTGTTTGCTCTTTGCCATTTGCTTCTGTACGGAACTCTAAAACTTGAAGATACTGTGCAACACTTTGCCAAGCCCATATAGCCACAGAACTTTGGGCTTGCTTTCAGCCCACGAGATACACAAGGGCCAAGGATTGGCAAAAAACTAAAATCTCAACTAAAACCCTAACAATCTCCCACACTCTTCCCTATATAATGTCACCTAAAACCCCAGTTTCTTCGATCTTCATTTCCTAGCGTCTCCAGCCTCAAATTTCACTCGAAGGTACAAACTTTTTCTACTCAACCTTAGTTTTTTTGCTCGATTTTTATGTTCATATAGCACACATCGAAGGCTTGCAGGTGATTTTTATTGAAATCCTGTGAGCTCAAAAACTGTGCAATATCATAAGTATCACCCCCCTTCAAAAATTTGGCCTTTTAATAAATACCCATTATTTTTCTTGAAGTTTAATGGTGGATGATTACATTTTCTTTTGTTAATCTGTTACTGGAGATGCAAAGGTTTAAGTTTTTATTGATAAGTTATGGTGAAACATCTGGTCAATTGAGATTTTATGGTGAAACGTTGTGGCTTTTTCAGTTTGATGCACATGTTTTGTTTGATTTTTTTTTTATGTGTTTAAGTTTAGCACATTCTTTCTCTATTTAAATCATGATGGGTTCTGGTTAAACATATGGCAAACTGGAAGGAATGGTAAAAAAAATAACGTTCAACTTCTCTGTAGGTTTTGAAAATTTTGCTAGAACAGTAATTACAAGTATTTCATTGCTGCTGCTGCTAGTTCTTTTGGTTGAGTACGATAGATACCTTCACCCAACTTGTGAGGTCTGCTTTGATTCAAAATTCACTTTTTTTTTTCAAAAAGGCGCCTCTCATAGAAGTTTACGTCTCAACATTTGTACTTCAGCAAATGCCCATAGAATCTCCATGCGAGATTGGGGTGTTACATAAACAATGTTTGAATTTGAACAGAACCCTCAGCATTTTGATTTTTGTCTGTAGGTTAACAGAATGTCGAACCCCAAAGTTTTCTTTGATATTTTGATTGGAAAAGCGAAAGCTGGTCGAATTGTAATGGAGCTATTTGCTGATGTTGTACCAAAAACTGCTGAAAATTTCCGTGCCCTCTGCACTGGGGAGAAAGGTGTTGGAATGTCTGGGAAGCCATTGCACTATAAAGGCTCAACATTTCACCGAATCATCCCAAGCTTCATGTGTCAAGGTGGAGATTTCACAAGGGGGAATGGCACTGGTGGAGAATCAATCTATGGCATGAAATTTGCAGATGAGAACTTCAAGCTCAAACATACTGGATCTGGTTGTTTGTCAATGGCAAATGCTGGACCAAACACCAATGGTTCTCAATTCTTTATATGCACCGAGAAGACTCCATGGCTTGATGGAAAGCACGTTGTCTTTGGTAAAGTAGTGGATGGTTATAGCGTTGTCAAGGAGATGGAACAAGCAGGCACTGATAGTGGGAGGACTTTGCAACCAGTCGTGATCGAAGACTCTGGTCAGCTAAAAGAGAACTGAAATTTTAACTGATGTATTCTAATCTATTTGTTTGGATTAGATGGCAAGGATGCTATAATAATTCCTCTTATCTGTAAGTAATCCGTTTTAATGCAGCATTACTATGTCAGAATTTTTCAAATTATGATAAGCCAGAGCAATATATGACTTTGATGATTCTCTACGGCAATTTGGGCTCTATGCCTCTATCCACTTTTTGTCACTGATTGTGTACTTTCCGGTAGGAAAAACTGCTTCAGTGTCATGTTTGATCAGATTGTACATTTTTGTTTTGAAATGATCAGATTATACACTTTTGGATGGGAGAGGAACTGATCAATTTCATTTCTGATACATTTGTTTGCCTTTTATACTTGGATTACTGTTGTATTTCCAATACTATGATACTTTTATTTTACTTGATAACAGAAGTACATAACATAAACGATGGACTCTTATGCATGGACTATAGATCCTTGACCTGGACTGCCTCCTAAGTTCGAGTATAGTTCCGTGGCCTTATAAGCACACAAACAAAAGGGAATTTAAACAACGATATGAAAGTGAACCTTGCATCTCTAGGCTCTAGCTAGAGAAATTATGGTCTCTAGGATGGATCTTGCGGCCTCACTGGTACTAGTTGGCGCTTTTACCTTGGCGACGCTTGCTTTCAGCTGACAATCGATCACCAAAGCTGCTCAATTCCAATCAAGAGCATTTTGATTAAAACCATGATGGATTATGAGGTAGCATGCAAATACAAAGGCAACCTTTCATAGAATCTTAGTCTTACTTCTTGAGTGCATCTTTATTTATGCCTGCATCTTTAATTGGTTTAAGTAAACCACTTGCCAAGTCCACAGCAGAAACAGGCTTCTCCAGGAGGTCAGTGCCGGTCTTCTCAAGCTGTGTAAGGTGTTTTTTGTTCGAGTTGTCCATGGTGATTTCAGAACCTTTCAAGCTGTCAGTCTGGTTCAATGTAAAGCGACATTAACCGTTTTGGTTGTGAGAAATATCATAAAATATTGGGTTACCATCGAATATGTAACTATTCGATTAGCAAAAAGAAGGAAATGAAATTCTGAATTGAAGTCTATTTGAAAGGATAGTTGTCTTTGGATTGGATGCAAGAGCAGGAGTGAAGAATGAAAAAAAAATCAATATACAGAAGGGAATACCTGAATTCATAGATAATTTTTCCCGAAACTAGTGCCTTGAAAGAAAGCAGACAAATATATGTCAACCATATTATCCACTGCAGTAAGAAGAACATCAATGATGGGGATACAATTCTTCCCAACCACCCAATCGAGGGGTCCCCAGTTTTCATAGACCTGATCAATCTTGTTATTCCAATTTGATGATCCGGTTCCAAGGGAAAGAACAAGAAGTTTACTGCAATCAATGTCTCTCATGCATTGAGTTTTTCCATGTGCAGACATCTCCTTGGCAGCCTCTGATATTGCCAGCAAAGTCTGATAAAAATTTGTCAAAATCAGCAAAATGAGAATCAAGATGTTAGATGGGAAAAAAATGTAATTAAAACCAGTGTTTCGGAAAATACCATACAGGATTGTTGGCGGCAACACCACCATCGACCATGTAGAATTTTCTGGTGCGGTCTAATGCGTTGATTTCAAACTTACGAAGAGGCAGGAAATATGGTGCTGCGGAAGTGCTCATGCAAACATCTAGCAGTTTAGCATCCTCTAAATCATCACGCGTCGCCTGATCAAACGATTCATGGGAACAAAAAATTTTTCTTGAATCCCAACAGTTTTAGTATTGAGCAAAAGCCAAAATCAACAAACCTTCATAGTGGAAAAAACTGTTGGTTGGAGAAGCTTGATGTTGAAAGAAGGGATTATCACATTGGTTAGAGTCTGACAAAGCTTTCTATCTCCAACCTTTTCTTTGATCGCTTTCTCCAACTTGTCGCCATCATATCTGGGGCAAAAAGGGTTTTAATGATAACTTTCGTTTGGTCTATTATCCGAGTCACCCAGTCGGGCATTGGAAGAGTTGAACGTTTCACTACACATTCCTCGTTCAGTACCACTGAATCAACCAACTCTTTCACTGCGGGTTCCAAAACAGTGTGCCTGATCAAGAAGATGACAATATATATTATATTCTATCAGAAATTTATAGAACACTAATTTCTCCAAGCTTTAGCAAGCCACATTTTGTTTTGAAGTCCCGAGGCTTCTAATTGTTGCTTTTTTTGAGGAATATTTTGGGAGACTGTTCTTGATCAAATTTGATGATCTTTTCTGTACTGAAAGGTCGATTAGATTCAGATGAACCATCATCTGGATCTGGGGAGGTGAGCATGGACGTAACGAGGCCTCCTGTGCTAGTCCAGGCAATGAAATCAAAGTAATCTGCTATCCTTGCATTGTCACCATCCAGCTTCTGTTAATGAACAAAAAACAAACCAAAAGAAGAAAGTTACGATTAACTCAATCACACTGCAATATTTGGTTCATTACCGGTTAGCAAGTAATGAACATGAGTTCAACGTCCCACCCGCACAACCAACCTGGAGATAGGATTCAAGGAAGGCCAGAATTGTTGCAGGGATAATGCCTCTCACTCCACCACCATCGACGCTGAGAATTGTAGCGATCTTTCCTTCTAATCAATCCATTACGAGATTTTGTCAAATAATATCAATCATGAATTCAGGCTTACTTATAGATAATATATATAGAAATATTAATTCGAAAGTCTAAAATTATAATGGTGTTGGCTTCTCTACTAAATATATAACATCTATATATAAAATTATATATATAAAAGTATGAACTCTAAAACTATTAAAAATGAACGATATAAATACTCTTACAAGTTTAAAAAAATAACAAATTTACCTTTAAATTTTTAGTATTTTTTATTTATGTATTAAAGATTATTTTTCATTAAATATAGCTTTTATTATTTAATTATTTAAATTAATCCAAAAGTGTTAAAAATTAATAGCATAAATACCCTTATAAATTTTAAAAAATAACAAATTTACCTTTAAATTTCTAGCATTTTTTATTTATGTATTAAAGATTATTTTTCATTAAATATAGCTTTTATTATTTAATTATTTAAATTAATCCAAAAATGTTAAAAATTAAGCATAAATACCCTTATGAATTTTAAAAAATAACAAATTTACCTTTAAAGTTCTAGCATTTATTTATTTATTTAATAAAGATTAGTTGCCATTAAATATAGAGCTTTTTATTTGTTAGTTATTTAAATTTAAATCAATTAAAAATTTATGAATAGAATTTATATCAAATTAAACGACACTAAAAATTTATTTGTGAGATATGGTGGATATATTGTCAAAAATTAACCCAAATTTACTCTTTTTTCTGTTCAATATCATAAGCAATAATTCAATTAAATTTATATAAAACATATTTCTCATCCTATGGGTTATAGCATACTATGAGTCCCTAATATTAAACAAAGCATAGACATCTTTCCTTTGTTGCTCAATTAGTCATTATTTTAGTCTAAATTATTATATCATAATGTTTATGTCCCAAAAACAATTAATTTTATCCTTAGTAAAACATATAATTTTTTTTTTCAAGATACAACATAATTTACTCTTTATCTTCTTTAATAATACATATCATGAGTCCTTAAATATATTTATATTATTTATTTATTTAATTTAGATTAATTAAAATTAAAGTTCATACAAAATTATTAATTAAATTATCAAAAAATTATTGAGAAAGAGTAATACATGTATTATGGTAAGTTTGTATGTTTGATTTTTTTAATTTTTTATGATAAATATACATTTATATGTTTAATGATTGCAATGATTGATTTATTTTACTATAATATTTCTAATTACTTTATGCAATCACGTTTTAACGTTATAATGCCTAAACAAATTTTTACTTTATGAATATAATCTCTTATCTATGTGAATTGTTACTAAACTTAGATTTTATTTTGTCTTCTATAGATTTAGATTTTATTTTGCCTTCCATAGATTGATTTTATATTACATCCAAGTTATTTTCAATCAATCCTTATTTTTTATTTTTAATTTAAAATATTTTGTACTTAAGATGTTTTAATAAAACCATAGTCAATATTATTAAGAAACATTAATCTTGAATAAGAGAAATTATTTGATATAATATTAGTTGAGTTATTTTTTTTTTAATTCCATAAGTGGGTTAAAAAATTAACACATCACTCACTTACTTTTTCAATTAGGTTTTTTTTTTTTTAAATATCACTCACTTATTTTTTCAATTAGCTTTTTTTAATATACTTTGAAGCTTAAAAGGTATATGTGTTACGTTACTAATTTCAATTGTGAAATTTAAAAACTCTACTACAAATATATTTTATAGTTTTTCCTTGATTAATATAAATTTATTTTTTTTCAATTAAGAATGCTTTAGAATATTTTTGTATTTTGATAGTGAAAAATATTTTAATCACATGATTAATTGTGTGCGTTTTGTTGAATGATCAAAGCTTTATTAATTTTATAACAAATTATTATATTCTTTGAATCAATAATGTTGCAGTTTATTTTCTGTTATTTGTTTATATTCTTTAAGTATATGATTATTAATTTGTACTCTTATCATGAAAGCATCTATTTAATAATTATTTGTACTTATGAGTGTATTTATTATAGATAAATACATGTATCATCTATGATATATACATATAAAAGTATGAATTGTAAATAATATTAAAAGTGATTTTTTAATTTGATACATTCTTATTAATAATACATTGCATGCCAATCATGTATGTCCAACAAGTTCTTTAATTCATAAAGAAAGAGAGACTTACAATTAAACTCATTAGTTGCATAATTAAAAATTTGAAGTATGAGGATGTGAAATAAAATATGTTTATTTATATAATCATACAATTAAGATAAAAAATTAATTCAATTGATAATGTTAAATTTTATATATATATATATATAAACAAAATAAATGAATAAATTAATATTTTATATAGATCGTAAAATTATTAAATTAGTCTTTTTATTACTCAATGGGTCAATGTATCATAATATATATGAAAATGATTAAAAAAAATAAAGGTGTTGGATGGCAAATGATAACATGACCTTTAATTTTTTTTTTCTCTTAATGTGTAAAAGTGCTCCACTTGGAATTTAGCCAACTTTACTATAAAAAAAATTATTTAAATTTTAGCTAAATATTTAGAATACTCACAAATATATACATACTTTAGATTTTATAGCCTACCTTGAATAGGACATTCTATAATTAAGAAAATGTTTAATATATATCTATATTATATCTAAAATGTGGTAATTTATTAAATTCTCTCTATTTATTTTTATTTAATATATTTTAGTAAATTAAAATATTATCTACTTTTTATTTTTTTTCTTATTAAAATAGTTTTTTTTTTGTTAAGTTATTTATGTCCTAGTTAATACAAGCAATACAGCTAAAAGGCTTAAAATAGTTTTTCTACAAATAAATAATTTAGTGTTTATAATATATTACACATATTAATATGATTTACACAATTAAATTAATTATAGAAGATTTAATGGTAAATCAATTATAACTTAGTAGTAAATGTATAATAATATAGTAGCAAATTATTGATAATTTTGTTATAAATTAATGATAATTTAGACAAAATCAATAATAACTTTATACTAAATTAATGACAACTGTATAGTAAATTATGAATAACTTAATAGTAAAATAATAATAACTTAATAGTAAGTAAATAATAATTTAGTAATAAATAATTGATAAAATAGTGTATGATAACATAATAATAAATACATAATAACATAATAAGAAATAATAAATAACTTAATAGTAAATCATTTATACGTAATTGTTAATGTATAACACATATTAGTAAATTAAGGATAACTTAATAAAAAATAAGTGATAACTTAGTAGTTAATTATTGATAACTTAGTAATAAATCAATTATAACTTAATAGTAAATTAATGATAATTTAATAGTAAATAAGGTTCAATTTAATACTCCTTCCATCCCAATGAAATTGTCACATTTTAATTTTTTTGGTCAATTTTTTTCAATTTTAATCACCTATTATTTTTTTATTTATTATTGATAAAAATATGAAAAAATATTTTAAAAACTTTATGGGAAGTAGTTTCTAAATATATATTTTGTAAAATTTAATTTATTAAAATATTTAAAATAATAGATGTCAAAGTTAGAAAAATTTAACCAAAAAAATTCAATTATTATAATTTAATTAGGACAAATAAAGGGGGTAGTAATTAATTGACAAATTTAGTAATAAATCATAAATAGTTTAGTAATAAATCAATGATAATTTAATAGTAAAGAATTTATAACTAACTAATAATTAACAATTGAAAATTAAAAGTAAATCAATATAACTTAATAGTAATCATTAGTAAATTAATAGTTAATCAATAATAATTTAGTATAGTAAATAAGATCTATAACTTAATAGTATATCAATTATAATTTAGTAGTAAATTAGCAACAATATAATAGTCAAAGCATAATAACTTAATAATAAATCAATTATAACATAATTGTAAATACATAATAACATAGTTGTAAATTAATAATAACTTCATAAAAAAAGATAACTTAATAGTTAATCATTGATAATTTAATAGTAAATCAATGAAAATTTAGTACTAAATTAATGATAGCATAATAGTAAATTTATTTTAGTTTAATAGTAATTAACTTATAAATTTAGTAGTAAATCATAAATAACTTAACGATAAATCAATGATAATTTAATAACTAATTACTAAAACTCAATAGTAAATCAATGATGGCAAAGTAGTAAATGCATAACAGCATAGTTGTAAATTATTGATAACTTAATAGTAAATCACTAATAATGTAATAGTAAAACATTGATAATTTAGTTATAATTCATTGATAATTTATTTATAAATTAATGATAATTTAGTTATAAATTAGTTAATTATTAATAACTTTATAGTAAATCATCAATAACTTTATAATAAATCAATAATAACATTATAATAAATTATTAATAACTTAATAATAAATTATCAATAACTTAGTAGTAAATTATTTATAACTTAATAATAAATCATGATAATTTAGTAGTAAATTAGTGATAAGGTAGTAGTAAGTGAGTCGTAACTTATTTGTTAATTAGTGATAACATTTTTTTTTATACTTAAAGTTATTAATAATTGAACCTTGGTTACTAGAAAGAGAAAAGGATTATGATAAATCTACCATGAACTTTTTCGTTAAAAAAATTTAGTAAAAAAATTCTAAATTTGAACGAAACAATAATGTTATATTTTATAAAAAGAAAATTATCCCATATATTGTAATTAATTGATAAAATTAATAATATATCATAAATAACTTTGTAGTAATTCAATTATAATTTAGTAGTAAATAATTGATAACTTAATAGCTAACTATTGAAAACTTAGTAATAAATCAATGGTAATTAGTAAATGCATAATAATATAATAGTAAATCACTAATAACGTAATAATAAGTCACTTATAACTTAATTATATATCAATGACAATTTTGTAGTAAATCATCGATAACTTTATAGTAAATTAGTTACAACTTTATAATAAATTATTAATAACTTAATACTAAATCATCAATAACTTAGTAGTAAATTATTTATAACTTAATAATAAATAATTAATAATATAATAATAAATCACTGATAACATAGTAATAAATTAGTAACAATTTAATTGTCAATCGATGATAAATTTTTTTATATTTGAAGTTTTTAGGGATTGAACTCCAGTTACTAGCAAGAATGAAGTAAAAACTTAGTAATAAATCAATAATAATAATAAATCAGAGTTAACTTAGTCATAATTTATTGATAATTAAATGCTAAATCACTTATAATTTAGTTGTAAATCAGTGATAATAATAAATCAATGATAACTTATTAATAAATCAGTTTTAACTTAATAGTAAAGTCTGGATAACTTAATAGTAAATTATTCATATTTTGATAATAAATTAGTGATATAACTTAGCAACAAATCATCGATAACATATAGTAATAAATCATTACTAACTTAGTTTTTTTTTTTTTTTTTGGTTAAATATTGATATAGAGCTATATTTTTTTAATATGTCTAACATATTTAATTCATTTAAAAATGTTATTAATTGCCATTTAATACTAAGGTATTGAGTTACAATATTTATGGATATTATACACATATATAAATAATTAAAACAATATTCATGTACCAATTACTATAACAACATATTTTTATTAAAAAAAATCAAATTTTGAAGTGAAAATTTGCAATAACTTTATCTATATTTGCATGTCATTGATTTTCTATTTGATAATATGTTAATAGTAACTAGATTAATGCTATATCTTTACTAAAATAAATTGTTGTGTTTTATGGTATCATTTATAACGTTGATAGCAATTATACAAAAAATTTGTCTTCAAAGATATTTTTAAAATGAAAGAGAAAAATAATGAGTTTAAATTTATTGAAAAACACCATAGAAAAATTACTTATTAGTTATTTTCTCAGGTACATAATATTTTAAATTAAAGTATATGATCTAATAATATTAATAATAGTATGAATTCTATAAATTTAAATTTTCTAATAATATCGTTTAAATAATGAATTTTTTGTATGACTTATACTTGATTTATAATTAAGTGTTCATCGAAATTACTCCATTTTAATTAAAAAAGAGTTCAAATATTAAAAATATATTTACTATCAATTTTAAAGTCTAAGATTTAAAACATAGTTTACCTTTAAGATATATCTTCTGATATTTGTCTAAAATAGATCATATCTTATTAATTTTCAAATTATGATATTTCATTATTTAACAAACAGTAATAATATTGAACTAAAGTTAATTGAAAAAAGTATTTGAATATTTAAAGAACAACATAAAAAACTATTTGATTAGGATAAGATATACCTTTAACTAAAGTTTGTTTTAAACTCTTAGTATAACATATAAGTTATGTATATTTAATTACTTTTTAAGAATCAATATTCGATACTAAAAGTAGTTTTAGTCAATATCCCATATAAATACATAAATAAACATCATCAATTATTACATTGATATACTAATAGTTTTTTTATTACTTCATATCCTTTTTTTAGAATAGGTTTACAAATTAATATTTTTAATTAGTAAAATTCATGTAAGTATGCATTTTTTACTATAAAATGAAATTACAAAATGAAATTACAAAATGATTTATATTACATAAATAAGTACATGTTAAAAATAGAAGTTAGTAATGAAAAAAATTATATATTTACTTTATTTCAAGTAACAAAAACTTTATAAGAATTTGGTTTCAAATCAAAATAACAAATTTAAATTTTCAATGAAATATAGATGAAATGTAATAGTTTGAATGAGTTTGGCAATGATCAATTGCCTAAAAAATTTATAAAATTGAAGATAAAAATCCACCACTAAAAAAGCTTTAAAAAGCTCTAAAAAAACATAAAATAAAGAAGAAGGAAAGTACAAAATCCTATTTGATTGTGATAGTAGACAATCTTTTATAATCGAAAAAATTTTTAAAAAAAAGAAGAAAAATATATATAAAAAAAGAATGAAAATGGTGACTTAACACTAAAAGACTTAAAAGAAAACTTCTAAAAAGATTCAAAACAAAAAACATTAAATATTTATTTTTTATTAGAATTTTAATTTTAATTTTTTTGTTATATTTATTTTTTAAAACTTAAATTTACATTTTTCATTTAATTTAGTATAATTATAATTATTTCAATTTTATTATTATAAAATATCAAAATTATTATATTATATTATATTATATTATATTATAATTATAATTTGGTTAATAATCACTCGCATGGCACGTGGAATAAAACTAATACGAAAAAAGTTCGAATATTTGATTCTATATATGCATTCTTCTAATAAAAACTGAAATCGAATTTGTTTCAAAATAAAAAAGAAAGCATATATAAGCACGGAAATGCATGCAATATATAATGCATAAATTAATTACCCAAATTGGTAAATGAGAGATGCTGGAATTTGACAGAAAGAAAATACAAAAACCATGGAAACTCACCAGCTGCCATTTATGAAAAAAGATGAACTCTTTTTTTTTTTTTTAATTTGAAAGAAACTTGAACTTATAGCCAATATGCCTTTTAGTCCTTGAAATATGGAAAGCCCGGCTGGTCTCACCCCAATTTATAGCTCTGTATATTTGATAATCAAGTGTTTTTCGAAATAAAAAATGGTTATATAGTTTTTTTTGGTTTGATACAGAAAGATAGTGCAAATCAAATCAGGGATTTCTATCCAAATTTCAACTCATTGATCCTTTCTATTTCATCTAACTCCAAGCCAGAAACCTGAGCTTGACTCACTCAAATTCAATCTGGATGGTTTTACTGTTGGAAAATCGAGTTCTACGAGAATAGATGGAGTGGTTAGAAACCGATTCGGAGTTGCTAAGATGAAAATCTCTAAATTTGTGGGGATAACTGATTCGAATGAGGTTAGACTGATATAAGTGTGTTTTTTGTATGTGACTTTCTCATGGACTAATACTCATTCACTGATTATTAAAAGTGATTCTTTGTATGCTATGACTTGATCAAATCACCCCCATAATATTAAGAATCACATATTGCATTTGAAAAACTTTAAATTAATGTCGGTTGATAGAACTGGTAAAGGACGAATGTTGGGCATCCAAGTTTGAATCCTCCTGCAATCCTTTGTTAATAGACAATTTGTAAATCTGAAAAATTCATAACTGAAAATTTAATGAAACTCAATTGGATTGTCAGTTTATATTCACTTAAAAGATAAATAATCTCTTCTACTTCTAAATTTTTTCAAAAAAAAAAATAAATTAATACAAAAATCGATAAATTTTTTATATTTCACGAAAGACGAATGAATATGCGGATGCCTTTGCTAACTCAAAGTTGAATGGAACTCAAATTTTATAGAATAATTTAATTAGATGTATTGTGACATCTTAAACTATTCCTTTTATTATTCTTTTGGTCTGACTTTAACAGTTTGTTTTTTGCCTTTTAGAACTTGATCATTTTGGTCTGACCTAACACATTGGTTAGAGTCTCACAGCATTTTTATCATTTTGTGCAAATAGAAGCCATCCTGTTTTGCAAGGGTGATAATGATTAAGATCGAATTGAATTTAATTTGATTTTTTGAATAATATATAATATTATAAATTTTTGAAATCCGATTTCGAATCTGAACTAATCTTTTCTTGAAACTAATATTCGATCGAATAGAATTCTATTGGCTCACTTCATCAGTTTTTGGGATGCAACGTTGCTCTTTCTATCCGTTTAATAAAAGCCTCTGCAGAATGGTACACTGGGTCCGAGTATTTGTTCCTGACTGATTTAAAAACCCATTTTGTTATAGTTCAAGCTATACCTGAAGGGGTAGAGATACATATCAAATCCATAATTTCCCCCAAGCTTTTATTATTCTCAAACTATCGGAAGAAATGATTTAGGAATTTAAATTGCAACTAGTTGTTGAGGCTGTTCTGATTCTTAAGGAAAGATGTATGCACTCTCTTGAAGATAAAAACCTGTCGATATCTTTTGCAGCAAATAAAGGTCGATTGTTTTCATTTGGAGAGGTAAGCATGGCTGTAACAAGGCCTCCTATGCTAGTAACAGCAATGAAATCGAAGTAATCTGCAATCCTTGCATTTTCACTGTCCAGCTTCTGTTCAAGAAATAATTTTCTACATAAGTTAACATCTCAATCACACTCCAGCTATACTTAGCTAAGGGGCATATATGGAGTAAGCTACCAACCCGAAGCTATAACTCAAGGAAGGCGAGAATAGTCCCACTCACTCCCCCCCCCCCCCCCCCCATCAATGTCCTTCTAATTAATCCATAATGATGAGATTTTAATCAAACATCGACCATGATTTTCAGCATTGTAGATAATAAAGTCAATACGATTTTTTTTTTAAAACAAAATTATAAGTGTCTGTCTAACATATTTTTATGTGTAATAGAGAGTTTGCAAGAGAATGTGTGTACATTGATATTTGCAGAAAATTGGTAAAAGAGATCGAGAGCTGGAATTTGACCATAAAAAATAGAAATCACAAGAACTCACCAGTTGCCACTGATGACAGAAAACTGAACTTTTAGCCAATGTATAGTAACTTTCACCAATTGAAAAGCCTGGGTCTGCTTTCAATATCATTTATAGCTGTGAAGTTCTGTTAGTTTTTCAGGACGTTGTCATCTTAAAAAGTTTTGCTTCTTTTTGCACCTAACGAGGTCAGTGGCAGCAACTTTTCCTTTTTGCTTCAATGGCGTGTTACCATATTTGTTTTTGTTAAAAATATTGGTGACCTGATTACCCTGGTAGAGTAACAATTAGACAAGGATATTCCACTGTTAACCAGTTATCATCATGGCTAAACGAATATGGTTATGCCCTCTGAATTTGGAAATGTAGAGCAGTCATCATCATTTCACATTTGGTCAGTTTAGTCAACGTTACCACTGTATATTGAAGAAAAAAAAGGTGAGATATTATCTTCTGTTGCCTAATCCAGCAATCTATTGAAGGTTGGCCGAGGGCTTGATCAGACCTGGTTTGGTTCATGATCAAAAGAAGAAACCAGAGAAATTTTACAATCAGTTTAAAACACCAACATAACTTGCATTCGATGCTGCATCTTCTTTGCCAGGCATTACCAGGCATTAATGGCAAACTCTGCCCTTGTCCATGAAGAAAAGGAATACAGTAAAGCTTACCTTCTACATGTTTTCATATTACATCTGGGGCTGTTCAGAATTTAGACTCCTCACAGAAGTTCAATCTTTCCATCTGTTTTTTCAAAGTCTTCTGAAAACATATGTTTCACAGTGTGAAAGGAGCTATCCAAACAATTGATAGAAAACAAAATAATATGCCATCTTGATGAGATGATATAATATACTTTAATAAGCACGTGGAAAATACAATATTCTTAAATAATTAGAATTAGTTGTTCCAGCTGGTGAGAAACTTTGTCCTGTTTTTAGTTCTTTGTAAGCAACGTTGACAAATAAGCCGCCAATTTCTTGCCCCATCCAGCTGAATTGGTGAATATTAATATGATTGCTTGCTTTGTTGTCTGAATGCTCCTTTGCATACTATGTTGTTAGTTGTCGTCTGTTTTTAGTTCTTTCTAAGCAACTTTGACAAAGAAACAGCCAATATCTTACCCCATCCAGCTGAGTGGAAATGGAAATTCATTTTTGGCATAATAGAACTCTTAAGGGAAAGTACTTATGTGCTATTAGTTTTTTGTTTGTTATTTATAATTCTCTTATTGTATTATTCTACTTTTTCTTATTTTGGCTAAAATCTTTCTGCAATTAGCTGATTAGTTATGCATTGTACTTCCCAGTTGCCCCGCCAGAAAAGCAGTTGAGATTTAAGACGACCACAGATGCCTCAGAGACACAAGTTATCGAGGCAATGCAGAGGTTGCATCGCATATCAAGAACCCCACCAAGTTTGCTAAGGCTTCAAAGCTTGCCATACAGCTGATACAGGCTGGAAGTGTGAAGGCAGGAACTAGTGAACACTTTTATGCTATACTAGAGGCTGCAATGTTATCAACAACTTCTTGTACTGATCTTTCAGTGGGAGGAGATTATCATTCATTGTTCTCAGCAGCACAAGATGTAGTTGAAGTATGAATTTAGTTTTTCTTACAAATATAAATTGGCTTTTGTCCCTTGAGAATTATCTTTTATTCTGTTTCCTTGCAGTGCCTAAATAAGAAGCAGAAGAACCAACTGACAGTATGGACATTTAGGGCTGTGATGGCAATTGACTTATTAACTGATGACAGCTTTGTGGTATGTATAATGTACTTTACTTTTAGTTTTAGTAGGTGTTTTGTAGCCACAGTATTGTCAGTCAATGAGTTATTCGATCTTCTGTGTACAATGTGGTAACAAACGTGAGTACTCCTTGCGACATGCAATGCAGAGACAATTATATGTAGTCTAATGTTCTTTTATGTATGTGTGTGTGTTTGGAAATATGAAAAGTGGGGATTTTGCAATAGTTTTAGTGGTGTTGTAGTGTATTTTTAAACGTTACAGTGAGCATAGATTTTCTTGTAAATATGGCTGAATTTTACTTAGTGAAGGTTGTTTGCTTGACTAAAATGTTTTGTGACAATACTGTTTCAACTGATTCCCTTTTCTTGGTCGTACAAAATTTGTTGCTGACAGTGTGTTTATGTGTTCATTCTTATAGTTTTCTAAAACAGCTAGTAAATTAAAAGATGCTATATCTGGTCTTCCATTTGCAACTCAGGATGATGACATAGATGAAGCTGCTACCCTGAAAGATGAGACTGAAATCGGTAATGCTGACAATGACAAGAAACAAGCTGTAGTTGCTCCAGCTGCAGAAAATAACAAGGATGTGTCTGATCCTTTTGGACTCGATGCTCTGATTCCTGGATCTGGGAAAAAAGATGATAGAAAAGGAAATAAAGATGTGGCTTTAGGATTAGCAACCTAATCCGTCTCTGACGGGATTCGATTCGATTCAATTTTATAAGATCGATTTTTTTTTTTTAAATTTAATTTTGAGTCGAATAAGATAAGATAATCATAAAAAAATATTAGAGTTGAATTTTAAGTAAATCCGACCTATATATATAAATTATTTTTTCATTAATTATTTAGTTTTTATTTATATATATTTATATAATTTTATATTTATATAAAAAATAATATTTTATTAATTTTCGATTAATCAGGTATGATTTATATAATATCAGTTCAAATTGGATTTGGACATAAAAAAAAAATTCTTGAATCGGATTTTATGGATATAAAATCATATCGGATTCGATACGAACAAAAATCTATCCCTACCAACTTGACCCGTTGTCATTTCTACGTGGCTTCCAAGAGCAAGGAGGATGAGGAAGCGACTAAAAGATTTCTCAAGTCACAGAGAGAAGCGTTAATTACTTGTTTAGAGATTGCTGTTCGAAGTTATAAAACTCCATGGTAAGTGTTAGTTTTCTGCTACTATTTGAAAGAAAAGGAAGCTCTGCTTTTAGTTGCTTATGTTGATTTTATTTTTAGGAGATTGATTGCATGTGTAATTCTTCTTAGGTGCCAGACAGTTTTAGACATCTTGGTAAAGCATGCATTTGACAATGTAGCAAGGTTTACATCTCGACAAAGGGATGCCATTAAAAAACTATGGGCTTTTGTTCGGGAGCAGCAAATACGTAGGAAGCAAGGGAAATCAGTTACTGGGGAACTTGATGTGAATGCTTTTGAATGGCTTCAGCAAAAGTATTCTACTGAGAAAATCAGCAGTCGGCATTCTGTTGGAGCTAGTGGGGATCGTCATCGTCAGCAGTGACTTGGTTAACGCGCTTTCTTTCGTGTTGTCCATAGCAGAAGCATTACCGATCTTAACTCTTACCCAGAAAACAAATTGAAATTGTTGATTGATCTTCGCTTAATCTGAATGTAATATGTTTTAGGTGTCAAACATTTTTAAAGGATAAAATTCATATAGATGTGGATATGGATATTTGTTCTCTTTTTTTCTTAAACTGTACACATTTTCACTATATTCTTGGATCAAGCACAGTCAACTGGTTTCTACCAGTAATCTCCACAGGAACAGGTTCCTTCTCTGAAGTGGTGAAAGCGCTTCCGATCGCGTACTATTATTACCCTCTGATAGATTTTAGACAGCAGCTTAGTTGCAGCGTGACAATCGTTACAAACTCGGAGATTTTTCACAATCCGAATTGGGGTACCTGGAGCTGAACTAATGAGGCCAAAAGCCATTGCCAATTTTTCACTGTGATAGTTGAAGGCAGTTTCTTTCTCTTCCTCATCTATATTTTGTAGGACAGCAGAGGTGTCTGCCATGTACCCTGCCTCCTCCAACTTTTTTCCCATCTCAGATACCATATCATTTATCTTTCCAATTTGTGGGTGTGACTTATCTCCCGTTATGAACTCATGAACATATCCATTTACTTCGATAGAGCTGAGCCCTGGTTCCTTCTTCATTCCCTTTTTCTTCATTGCTTTTCGCACCCTTGCAACATCATTCCACCTATTTGCCACTGCATATATATTTGACATTGAAACATTGTAACCACAGTTTTGAGGTTCCAGGTAAACAAGTTGCCTTGCCGCCATTTCCCCTAATACGGTATTCTTGTGAATCTTGCATGCAGCAAGAAGAGCACTCCATATGATGGTGTTTGCCCTTATTGGCATGCTTTTGATAATCTCATAGGCCTCATCAAGCAGTCCTGCTCGACCAAGAAGATCCACCATACAACCGTAGTGTTCAATCTTTGGAACCAAGCCAATTTCATTAACCATTTTCTCAAACATTAGCTTTCCTTCTTCCACCAATCCTGCATGGCTACAAGCATGAAGAAGACCAATAAATGTGATATCATTAGGTTTAGCACCCACTCTTTCCATTTCGGAGAATAGCCCCAAAGCCTCCTTACCACAACCGTGCATTCCAAATCCTGCCATCATTGTATTCCACATGACAATATCTTGATCTTTAAATTCCCTAAACAGTCTCCAAGCCCCATCAATGTCTCCACATTTGGCATACATTTCCAATAGTGCGGTTTTTAATATCTTATCCGTTTCAACAACTTGCCTGTCTATGAAAGTATGAACCCATTTGCCCATATCAAGGGCTCCAACTTCTGCACAGAGTAAAAGGATGGTAGCCATTGTTACTTGGTTAGGTCTCACTCCACTGTCCTTCATCTTGACAAAAAGATCGAAAGCCTGATCAATGCAATGAGCTTGTGCATAAGCTGCAATCATAGCACTCCAGAAGATAACATCTCCATTCTTAACCGTGTCAAAAACTGCCTTAGCTTTCCTTATCTCCCCACATTTCCCGTACATATCAACCAAAGCAGTAGCAAGAGCCAAAGACACACTAATCCTATTTCTCAAAATATAAGCATGTAGTTGTTTTCCCAGTTCTAAAACCTCCACAAAGCCACATTCTACAACTAAGCTCAGCAAAGTAATCTCATTTGGTTTTATCCTTTCTTTAAACATTCTAGCAAAAAGATTCACTCCCTCTTCTAATTTATTGCAATGAATATATCCAGCTATCATAGCAGTCCATGAAACAATACTTTTCTGGTTCAATCCATTGAAAAGCAGTCTTGCAGAACCTAAATATCCACTTTTGGCATACATATCAATGAAAGCAGTAGTTAAATGAACACTCATTTTCTCAAGATTCCTTGTAACATAAGCATGCATTGCTTTTCCCAGTTCAATGTCCTTGAGCTCTGAAAATAAATTAATCATACTAATCATGGCAACCTCACTAGGTCTTATTTGTGAAATTTGCATCTTTCTGATAATCCCCAATGCTTCCCCATGGAATTTACCTCTAACATAGCTTCTAATCATTGTACTCCAAGAAACAACATCTCTTACATCCATATTATCAAATAATAACCTGGCTGACACCACACTCTCACATTCACTATACATTTGTATCAAAGCATTACTTACAAAAACATCTTGAATCAATCCATTCTTCACTGCAAAACCATGTATTTCTTTACCCAACTGGGTCATTGAAACAATACTGCAAGCTTTCAGGACAGCAGGTACCATAAAGTTATCAACTTCATAGTCCGTTCTTCTCAAATAAGCATAGATGTCAAGTGCATTGTGGGGTTGGCTGTTTTTAGTGTAAGATGTAATAAGGAAATTTAATTGTGCAGAAGGGCTAAACTTGGTTTGGTTGAAGTGGGTTTTGACCATAAGAGCATGGATTTGCCTGGTTTGTTCAAGGGTGGGTTGTTCAGGGAGGATGTGAAGCTGAAATGGGATTTGCTGCTGGTATTGAAGCGTTCCGCTTTTTGTTAAAGCTAAGAGGGAAGGAGAAAGTGTAGGCTGCTTTGTTGCAGCTATTGTCAGGTCCATGGCGTCTAGCCTTTCGTCACTTCCTTTTGCAGTCTTGAGTGAATACTTTACTTCATCTTCAACTAACGTTCTTTTATCTTCACAAAATATCTTTTTTTTTTTTTTTTTTTTTTAATGAAACTTCAGTTTTCTAACATTTTGCTTGTTTGTTTGCTCTTTGCGTTTGTTTCTGAAGGGAACTCCAAAGCTTGAAGATACTGTCCAACACTTGTCTGAGACAAGCCCATATTGCCACGAACTATGGTCTTTCTTTTCAGCCCACGAGACACTGCTAGAGCCCAGTATTGGCAAAAAACTAAAATCTCAACCAAAGCGTTAAAAATCTCCCACACTTTTCCCTATATAATTTAACCTAAAACCCCAATTATCTCGCGTCGCCAAGCCCCAAATTTAACTCAAAGCTACAACCTTTTTCTACTTAACCTGAATTTTTTTGCTTGATTTTTATGTTCGTACAGCACGCATCGAAGTCTTGCACGTGATTTTTATCGAAAATCCTGTGAGCTCAAAAGCTGTGCAATATCATAAGTATCATCCCACTTCAAAACTTTGGCCTTTTGATAAATACCCATTGTTTTTCTTGAGGTTTAATGGTGGATGATTACATTTTTAATACCCGTTTCCTAATATGTAGCTTTTAGAATGACCAATGAATTCTTTTGTTAATCTGTTGCTGGAGATGCAAAGGTTTAAGTTTTTATTGATTAGTTATGGTGAAACATTTGGTCAATTGAGATTTTATGGTGAAAAGTTGTACCTTTCAAAGGAATGGCTCTTTCAGTTTGTTGCAAGTGAATTTTTTTTATTGTTTTTTTTTTTTTTTGTCTTATGTGTTTTGGTTTAGCATATTCTTTTGCTATTTAAACCATGATGGATTCTGGTTAAGCATATGGCAAAAGGGAATGAATGATAAAGAATAAAGTTCTATTTCTCTTTAGGTTTTTTTATTGAAAAAATTGCTTTAGTTATGTAGGAAGTACAGAACAGTAATTACAAGTACTTCATTGCTGCTGCTGCCAATTCTTTAGTTTATATAGGAAGTGTTGTCTGTTTTGATTCAAAACTCTCGTATTTTTTTTATAAAAAATATCTCATAAATATGAGTTTAAGTTTCAATATATATATATATATATTACAGCAGATGCTTATAACATCTCCATGCGAGATTAGGGTCTTACATATACAATGTTTGAATTTGAACAGAACCTTCAGCATTTTGATTTTTGTCTGCAGGTTTTTAATTAGGTTAACAGAATGTCAAACCCCAAAGTTTTCTTTGATATTTTGATTGGAATACATTGATATTTGAAGAAAACTGGTAAAAGAGATCGAGATGCTGGAATTTGACCATAAAATATAGAAATCACAGGAACTCACCGGTTGCTGTTGATGACAGATATCGAAACTTTTAGCCAATGTATAGTAACTTTCACCAATTGAAAAGCCCAGGACTGCTTTCAATCTCATTTATAGCCGTGAAGTTCTGTCAGTTTTTCAGGAGGTTATCTTAAAAAGTTTTGCTTCTTTTTGCACCTAATGAGGTCAGTGGCAGCAACTTTTCCTTTTTGCTTCAATGGCGTGGTACTGGATTTGTTTTTGTTAAGAATACTGGTCACCTGATTACCCTGGTAGAGTTACAATTAGACAATGATATTCCACTGTTAACCAGTTATCATCATGGCTAAACAAATATGGTTATGCCCGCTGAATTTGGAAAATTAGAGCAGTGATCATAACTTCACATTGGTCAGTTTAGTCAACATTATCTCTTTGGATTTAGGAAAAAAAAAAAGGTGAGATATTATCTTCTGTTGCCAAATCCAGCAAACGATTGAAGGTTAGCCGAGGGCTTGATCAGACCTGGTTTAATTCATGATCAAAAGAAGAAACCAGAGAAATTTTACAATCAGTTTAGAACACAAACATAACTTGCATTCGATATTGCATCTTCTTTGCCAGGCATTAGTGGCAAACTCTGCCCTTGTCCATCAAGAAAAGGAATGCAGTAAAACTTACATTCTACATGTTTTCATATGACATCTGGGGCTGTTTAGAATTTAGACTCTTCACAGAAGTTCAATCTTTCCATCTATTTTTTGAAAGTCTTCTAAAAACATAAGTTTCACATTGTGAAAGGAGCTATCCCGAACAATTGATAAAAAAACAAAATAATGTGCCATCTTGATGAGATGATATAATATATTTTAATAAGCACGTGGAAAATAAAAAATTCTTAAATATTTAGAATTAGTTGTTCCAGCTGGTGAGAAACTTTATCTGTTTTTAGTTCTTTGTAAGCAACTTTGACAAATAAACAGCTAATTTCTTACCCCATCCAGCTGAATTGGTGAATATTAATATGATTGCTTGCTTTGTTGTCTGAATGCTCTTTTGCATACATATATGTTAGTTGTTGGCTTCTTCTGTCAAGCCAGACCATTGTTATTGGTTGACCAAGGCTTCTTTGGCTTCGGAAGAAGTTCTGCATAAACCACCGGCAGAAATGGATATTGACACTGACCTGCAGAAAGTTTTACCTACAGAAGAACACGATTATGATAGAGCAAAAGAGCTGAAGGCCTTTGATGACACAAAAGCCGGTGTTAAGGGACTTGTTGATGCTGGTGTAGTTACAATTCCTCGAATCTTTTTCATGCCGCCTGAAGATATACTGTCTGCAAAGTTGGATGATCATGATAGTTTTCAGGTTCCCATCATAGATCTAAGAGATCCTGCTGCACATGCAGAAATTGTTGAAAAGATCAGATATGCATCAGAGAAATGGGGATTCTTCCAGGTTATAAACCATGGCATCCCACAAGATGTCATGAACAAGGTCATTGCAGGTGTTCATAGATTCCATGAGCAACCGAAAGAGGTGAAGATGAAATTTTACTCACGTGAGAACGAGAAGAAAGTGAGATTTATCAGCAATTATGATCTGTACGTGTCAAAAGCTGCAAACTGGAGGGACACTTTGTATTGTGCCATGGCTCCAAACCCTCCACCTCCCAAAGAGTACCCAGTTGCCTGCAGGTAGACTATAGACATACTCTTGAGATCTTAGCAATCTTACCATTGATTGAATCAAACTCATGAGCTTGAAATGCAGAGAAATATTGATAAAGTACTCAGAGGATGTTCAGAGCTTAGGCCAAATGCTTTTTGGGTTGCTGTCCGAGGCCCTTGGTCTCAATCCTTCTCACCTCACAGATATGGGGTGCATGGAAGGGCATGTCTTTGTTTGTCACTACTACCCAGCTTGCCCTGAACCTGACCGGACTATAGGGCATGCCATACACTGTGATCCTGACTTCCTTACAATCCTTTTACAAGATCAAATTGGAGGCCTCCAAGTTCTTCATGAAGATCACTGGATTGATATCCCTCCACTGGAAGGAGCACTCATAGTTAATATTGGCGACCTCTTACAGGTATATGTATACAAGTATAGAAATACTAAGACCCAGAATTTACACACTGTCTTAATCCTATCTGATCTGCTTCCACTTTCATGCAGACTAAGAAAAAGGATTGTTCTAACCAATTTATGTTATGAACAACTTTGTTATTTCCCACTTCTTTCATGACAATCAAAGGCAGTTTTTAGTTTATCAAGGAATATAATTTTATTTACTGTTTCAATGCAGCTAATCTCCAACAAGAAGTTCAGAAGCGTTGAGCATAGAGTTTTGGCTAAGCGGGCAGGCCCAAGAATATCAGTAGCATGCCTATTCACCACATTTTATCAACCATCTAACAAGCTTTATGGCCCCATAAAGGAATTGTTATCAGAAGAAAGTCCACCTTTGTACAAGGAAACCTTGATAAAGAATTATCTGTATTCCTTCCGCTCCTTGGGACGTGACAACGACTCTGCACTTGCTTTTTTGAGATTGTAATGATGAAAAGAATAAATTCACACATATTGTAATACATGGGGAAAAGAATAAACATACACAGAGATTGTAAATTCCCTCCAGGTAATGGTTATTAAGAGTTGCAGAACTCAAAATTGGTTTAAGAGTACAGGAAGCTATCTAAGCTAGGGGCATTAGTGGACCGAGCAACCAACTTGGAGTTGGGATATTCAGGAAAGGAAAGAATTGTCTCACTCCCGGGGATATATAATTATTCTTATTGCCTCGCCATCGGTGCTAAGAATTGTGATAAGTTTTCCATCTATTCAAAAATCAACAATGATAAGAAATTTTAGAAAATACAACCAATAGGATTTTATAAATTCATCAGAACATTGATTCCTCAACTAACATATTTTTCTGTTTTGTTGAGAAACTAGAAATGAATGCATATGCACATCAAGCAACCAACCTGGTAAATTAGAGATGCCTAAATTTGAATATATACATACATATATAGAAACCACAGGAACTCATCAGTTGCCATTTGATGTCAGAACATTGAAAGCCAACATAGAGGTGTTTCCAACAGCTAAAAAGTCCAAGGCTGTTCTCAGCATCAACAAATTTTATCAGCCATTTAGGAGGTTGCTGATTGGTTTTTATTCTTATTATGGGTCACTCTTCATGCCAGCAAGGCAGTAATGTTTTCCTGAAAAAAGTTATCTTCTCCTTTCGACCTGATGACGTCAGTAACGGCTTCCTAAATACTGTTGGTTCTAGTGCATTTTTCTCTTAACAGAGGTCGTGATCGATTTAAGGACACGAAAAATCCAATTTGGATATCCTTTCTTCCAGTGCAGGATGATAAAATTCAGGAGTCATGAAAGCTCTCTGGGAAGAATTTGAATAACTATTACGCAATTTACAACTATATCTTGCATCCTTTTTCCAAATATTTAATGGCAACTGATGAAATATTAATCTCCATAAGCAAGCAAGCAAGCAGACAGTTCAAATTTCGCATTCAATGAAAACATAGGACAGTCACAATTAAACAGCCGAGAACCCTTATAACAATACATATCAGTACACAGCCTCAGTGGATTAGTCAGAAATACAATAACCTTGTTTAATTGCTAAGAATCTGCCGACATAGATTCATACTATCTAACAGATTATGAGGTAAATCACCATATAAGAAAACTTTGTATTGCTTGAAATGTTCCTCCTAATTTCAAACTATTGCATGAGATCATCAACCTCCTATAAGTTTAAGCAGAAGATAATGCAGTTAGCGTAATTTGAATTTTAGGCACCTTTATGACACATTTAAATATTTTGCATGCATATTGGATTCTGATTATAGAAAGGATGATATCAGTAGTTGAATCAGTTTATGTACTAAATGTTAAGTATAAAACAAAAATAGAACTGCCTTCTGCCAATAATGGAACAGAGTAGTACACTAAGTTCATTAGCTCAAATCGAAGCCATCATTTGGCAACAGAATGGAATGCATCTGGCTACAGGGTATTGAATTGAAGGCCATATGACTCTAACTTCAAGCAACATTATTAAAGTTCTGGATGGCCGGCAGTAATCTCCACTAGCAATCAAGATCAATACACCATCACTCACTTCCAATTCTTTTCATTCCCAATCTTCATCACTTAATTGACCGTCAGTTTCTTCTTTTGGTGGCCTAACGACCAACACCACTGTTCCTAGGCTCTCCTTCACGCCCATTTCCTTCAATGCTGATCCTCTATCCACCTTCATCCGGCCACCATCAACCTGCACCAAATAAAACCCATCACCCAATACCACCTCCTTCCTATTCCTATCAGTAACCACCAAAATAGGCTCTTCCATACACCACCTATTTGCCTTCCACGGTAAAACTCTCGCATCCCCAATGCCACTACAACCCCTCCATTCCTTAACCCAACAACCGATTCCCAACCTGGCAAAACCACCCACCTCTTCCACCCCTTCTCAGCCTCCACTACACCAAAACCCCCTACAGTTCAACATTCCAAAGCTGCTTCCAAAATCTCTCTGTCCTTGTTCGGCTTACAAACCGGGAAAACCACCACATTAGTAGCCTCATCAACTTCACCAAACTTCATCCTAACAACTGGAACCCGAACCCCATATTCCAAATCATCTCCTTTCTCTGCCTTTTCATCCTCCCCAGCTTTCATCTCTTCCAACACCTCTCCTTTCTCTTCTTTTTCATCCTCCCCACCTTTCATCTCTTGCAACACCTCTTTTTTAGAACTCTCAGACTCAGCAACTTCCAATGCTTGCCTTAAAGCAGCAGTTCTTTGTTCAGAAGGATATTCCTATGTTCCCTACTTTGCCTATAATACATAAATGACAAACAATCCCGTGGAAGCTTATATTCAAAACTTTTCCAACCTTTATCCGTTTTCCTTCTTGGGAAATCCTTCATAGCCCTAGCAAAGTCTTGTACACCCTTTGCATCCAGGCTATTTTCAACTATATAACGAGCAGCTTCAGCTCTTTGTGAAGCACTTAAAGGTCTTATTTCGTAAAGCAATTCAGCACCACCAGTATCAAAAAAAGATACAACATTTTCATCAGTTTTGGATTGAATGAGTGACTCTCTTACCTGGGCAGCTACTATTAGTCTATTTTGTTCAACCCCAGAAATCCCAATCGATTCTTCTGCAGAAGGAGGTGAAAAACCTTCCTGGTAAAAGGAAGGGATAAGTGGGGCATATTCAAACCAAAGTCCAAGGCGGCTGGCTAAGACATCCAAGCGAGCTTGAGGGTCAAGGGAGCGGAATTGGGCTGGAAGTGGAGATGGGGGGGGGGGGGGGGAGGCCTAAAGGTTGGTAAAGCTGTTGCTGCTGAGGCTGGGGGTTAGGGGGGATAAGAGTAGATGAGATGGGTTTAAGGAGGGTTTTAGAAAGTGGGAAAGAAAGATGGAAAGAAAAAACAGATGGATTTTGGATTAAGAATGAAGAAAAGAAAGGATTTTTGGAATTGGTGATGGGTTTGAGAGAGGCTGATGAGAGCGTGTTGAGAAAAAATAAAGGCAGGATTTTTGCGGGAGAGGAGAGAGAAGGCAAAAGAAGAGCTTTGTGGCTGCAGAAGGTTGCCTTGTCTGAAAACTGAAATGCATGGGTTTTTCTTTGGGTTCTTTTTGAAAAAGATGGAGCCCAAAGAAAGCGTTGTGAGAGAAGATTGGCCCATTTGGCTGAAACTCAATTTAGCCCAGCATTTTTATATTGAGAAAGAACAGCGCATGGGGTTTCCAAATTACTGTCAAATTTTTAATTTTTAATTTTCATTAAATTTTTTTTATCACTTTATGAAATTTAAAAATTAGAAACTTCATTGATATAATAAACATAACTAAGTCTCATTTAGTGAAAACCAAAAATATCTTAATGACATATTGTATATCGATTGATTGAAGTTACAATATATATAGTAAGAAAAACTTATAACAAATATAATAATTTCTCTCTTTGCATAATAAAGACAAATTAAAATCACTTTTAGCTTTATTAAATTTAAAAAGTAATGGAAAAACTTATAATAAACGTCGCTCATATCTAAGCAATAGTTGGTTTTCATTCTAGAAAATGTAAGAAATTCAAATTAGTTCATTGGTCAACTAGAGAAAGAAGATATTGTATCTTAACTTCTCCAAGGCCGCATGACTTTTGTAACTATGTTAAAACTACATTACCAAAATGGATCAATCTTTGACCAAATTGGAGAGATAGAAATTTTTTCCATGGCTTATTTGAGGGGTAAAAATTTTTTCCATGGCTTATTTGAGGGGTAAATTGCACTGTTTTTGGTGGGTAAAGAGAAAGTTGATCATGAATCCCAGAAAACAAGTTCAATGAAATCAAATACTGAGATCTCAAAGTAGACTTGTGACACTTTCTTGTCAATTGTGTTGGACATTGACTTGGTGGGTAGACTTTACTCTTTTGTTTGTTTCCTTCTTTCTTCTATGCTTTTCTGAATCTTTTGATAATAAATAAGTGGGAAAGAAGACCCTTTGTAGCAGATTACTCTTTTTTTTTTTTTTAATTTTACAAATTTTGATCAATAAAAATTAATTTTAATTTATATAAACTCGAATTTTAATTCAATAAATTTATATAATTATCCAATCTAACTTTTAAATCTAAATCTCAGTCACTACAATTTTGTTTTTTCTATTCCAAGCTAACGGCCTCTTCCAAAAAATTCTACAGTATTGTATTTGATTTTGACCATTTCAAGAATATTTATTTCTTTGACGATCAATGAATAATTTTTTGTTTGAAATTTAGTGAAAGCATCAAAAGTGAGCTATGACATATTTTCCCACTAACGCAGCACTCTTAAAGCAATCTTTACCAACTTTTGACTCAACTTTCTACGCGTTAGTTTTCAACAGTTGCTCCTGCTCAGTATAGATAAACAATAGTAGTTTAAGGAATATAAATTGGCCGATATCAGTATGAAGTTTTCAAGTCGTCTATGAAGGAAAAAATGAGAGCTGTTACAGTATTTCTTATAGGGTTTGTTACTATTATTGCTACTGGGATTACTTTTTGTGTGGGAAATTCCAGGGTGCTTTGCATTGAGAGTGAGAGACAAGCCCTGTTAAAGTTCAAGCAAGATATCATTGATCGTTCAAACAGGCTATCTTCTTGGGGTGATGGTGGGGATTGCTGTAACTGGGTTGGAGTTTCCTGCAACAACTTCACAGGTCATGTCTACAAGTTGGACTTGAGGCCTCCTTCAAGTCCAGATTATGCATCATCAGATGCTGAAATTGGAGTTTATTGGCGCTCAATGCTAAGGGGAAAAATAAATCCTTCTTTGCTCTTATTGAAGCAACTGAGTCACCTAGACCTTAGTTATAACAACTTCGGTGGCATCCAGATTCCACGATTCCTTGGTTCAATGGAGAGTTTAACATATCTTGACCTCTCTGGAGCAAAATTTGGAGGAACCCTTCCACATCAACTTGGAAATCTCTCAAAGCTGGAGCATCTTAACCTTGGAGATAATAGTATTAACCGGTTGGTTGAAGCTAGAAATCTTCAATGGCTTTCTGGTCTCTCTTCCTTGAAGTATCTTGATTTGAGTGGAGCGGACCTCAGCAAAGCAACTGATTGGCTGCAGGTAACCAACAAACTACCTTCGTTGATAGAGTTACGTTTGTCAACTTGCTTTCTTGATAATGATCCTTCACCAATCAATGTTAACTATACATCTCTTTCCATTCTTGATCTTTCAAACAACTACATATCCCCTTCGGTACCCATGTGGATTTTCAGTCTTCATAAACTTGTTTCCCTAGATCTGAGTGGAAATGTCTTTGAAGGTCTTATTCCCAATAGTTTTCAAAACATGTCATCTCTCAGATTTCTTGATCTTTCCGGAAACTCATTCAAATCATCAATACCTGGTTGGTTGTATAGTTTGAACCATCTTGAATTTCTCAGTCTTAGAGGTAACTTCCTACAAGGCAGAATCTCGAGTGCCATTGGAAACTTGAGTTCCATTGTTAGCCTTGATTTGTCAGGAAATCAGCTTGAAGGAGCAGTACCAACCTCTTTGGAAAATCTTTTCAATTTGAGGCAACTTGATTTGTCAAATAACAAAATTGATCAGGAGATATCAGAAATTCTACAGAGCTTGTCTAGATGCTGCTCAGATGACTTGAAGTCATTAAATATGGCAACTAACAATCTCTCAGGCCATTTAACTGATCAACTAGGACTATTCAAAAGTCTATCTTACCTGTCTCTTTATCAAAATTCCATTTCTGGTCTCATTCCAATCTCCATAGGAAACCTGTCATCTTTAAAATATTTTGATGTGTCAGAAAATCAATTGGATGGTAATCTTCCTCAAAGTCTTGAACAACCCATGAACCTGGAGTATATGAACATTGCTTATAATCAGTTGGAAGGTACTGTATCAGAATTGCTCTTTTCTAGTCTCACGAGATTGAGAGTTTTAAGGGCATCTCAAAACAAGTTGAAATTTGAAGCAAACTCAAACTGGATTCCTCCTTTTCAATGTCGAACCATTGAAATGGGTTACTGGCTTCTTGGCCCAAAATTTCCAACATGGCTTCAATTTCAGAAGGACTTGTCTACATTAGACATATCCAGTGCCGGAATTTCAGATGTTGTTCCCTCTTGGTTTTGGAACTTTACTTCTAAAATGGTGTCTCTGAATATTTCTCATAATGGACTTGAAGGGGAGATCCTATTTTTGCCAGTGCATAAATTGGTTGATTTGAGATCCAACCGGTTCACAGGTCCATTGCCAGGAGTGCTCCCTGATGTGGCGACATTGTTTTTCACTAACAATTCGTTTTCGGGGTCTCTTTCACATTTTTTATGTGACTACAAATTAGGTAAACCAAAATTATTTCTTCTTCAACTTGAAACAAATCTTCTGTCAGGAGAAATTCCAGATTGTTGGTTGAAGTGGCGGGGCATCCGGGTTCTAAATATGGGAAACAATAATCTGACTGGGAAGATTCCGGACTCTTTGGGATCCTTGGGTTTTATGTTTCTAAATCTTAGAAACAATAAGCTGTCCGGGGAGCTACCATTGACCTTGCAAAATAATAGAGACTTGTTTATGCTTGATGTTGGTGAAAACCAATTCGGCGGAAGCATCCCAAAATGGATTGGTGAAAGTCTCCCAAATCTTGTGATTCTAAGTTTGCGTTCAAACTCTTTTGATGGCCATATCCCTGAGGAACTTTGTCAGCTCAGTTCCCTTCAAATCTTAGACCTTGGGGATAACAAAATCTCAGGTGCCATACCAAAATGCTTTAAGAATCTAACTGCCATGGTCACAAAACCATATGATACTGATGCTGTCATTGATTATTTCGTGGATGGGGAATTCATAAGGAGTGAATTATTGGTGATGAAAGGAAGAGTGGACGAATACACCACCACACTATCACTTGTTACCACCATGGATCTGTCATACAACAATTTCATTGGAGACATCCCCAAAGAGCTAGCCAGTCTTGAAGGGTTGCAATCGTTAAACTTATCAGGAAATTCCTTGAAAGGAAAGATCCCTGAGCACATTGGCAACATGAGGCTATTAGAATCTCTTGATTTCTCCAGGAACCATTTACATGGTTCAATCCCTGTCAGCTTCTCCAACTTAAATTTCTTGAGTCATTTGAACTTATCTTACAACAATTTGACAGGAAGAATACCATCAAGCACACAACTCCAAAGTTTTGACAAGTTCTCTTACATTGGCAATCACCTATGTGGCCCCCCCGTCACTGAAGACTGCAGCACAAAAGTTGTAACACCTCCTAATGCTACAATTGAAGGCAGTCATGATGAAGAAAGTGAGGGGTGGTTTGAAAAGTATGGGATTTATGTAAGTGTGGTGATTGGATTTGTGGTGGGGTTTTGGGGGGTGGTAGCTCCTTTGTATTTGATCAAATCTTGGGGATTGGCTTACTACGAAAAGGTGGAAAGCATTCGTCGCAATTTTTCTGCGTTTAGAGATAGAATTTGAGAAATACACGGGGAGTACGACTTTTAGGCCCCATCATCCATTCGAATCCCATGACCTTTTGAAGGAAGTGCTCTAAGACTCCTGTGAGTCAATACGTAGAATGGGAGCCCAACAACTAGTTTTGGGCTTCTTTGTTGTAACAAAGTAATGTGTTTTTACGAGGCTGGAGCGGAATCTGCTTCATCCTTTTATCTTTTACTCAGTTTTCTTTTTCGTTCTTTGCACTTTTGTTCACTAATAATAATCATCAAGTTCTATTGTTCAATTAAAGAGTTTTATATGATTCCTTATAGTATTCAATTCGACAGAGGTATTTAATGCTATAATTGATCGTCCAAGACATCTGGTTACTTTAATTTTGTTTCATAACGATAGACTATATATATCGATTAATTTTTTTTTATTGAAATGTAAAAAAAATTACTGAATTAAAATAAAATAATTATTCAAACTTTAATTGTTTTATTGCAATCAATTAATTCTTCAAACTTTTATTTTAATTTAATTGAGATTTTATTGGGCAAAAATTAAGTAACCACCATCATTAATTACATGAGATTTTTAAAATTCCTTGGTTCATAGGGTGTTTCAGATATTTTCACTTTATTTAGTTGTTACTTCTTACCCTTTTGCTTTTCAAGATACATAAAAAATAGATTGTGTCAACTACGAAAGATTTTCATTGGCCGCTATGAAAGATACACACATATATATATATATATATATATAATTTTTGTAAGACTTGAAAAAGAATCTTAACTTCTTTAAATGTTATGTCGTGCCTAACTCCATAAATTCTGTCGACATTCCTGTCAATTTTGTTTTATCCTTTTCTATATATGTGAACGCACTGAACTGCGTAATTGACATCTAGGCACTCCATATTCCCTCAACAAAATTTTTTATTTTCAAAATTTTATTTTTAATTTAATTGAGCTTTTATTGGGAAAAAAATTAAGTCACCATCATCATTAGTTACATGAGAATATCAGAATTCCTTGGTTCACTAGGGGGGTTTCAGATATTTTTACACATTATTTAGTTCTTACTCCTTACCCTTTTACTTTTCAAGATAAATTAAAAATAGATTGTGACAACTAAGAAATATTTTCATTGGAATGACATTGAAAATTGGAAAATTAAATATTTTACTTTCATATATATAACACATACATAAGATATTATAAATAATTAAATCTAAAGTTTAATTCAACTAATTCATATAGTTATTTCTAAAAATATATCATATAATAAATTTTAAATTAAAATCTTCTCACTTATAATCTTTTTTTTATTATTATTTTTAAGCTGTTATCTCATTTATATAAAAAAAAATTCTACGTAATTCTTTTTAATAAAAAAACCACCCTTCATATTTGAATTATTATTCTTTTTTCAACAATTTACATAATTTTAACCAAACATGTATAGCAAAATTTGATTTAACAAAAAAATAACTATGCCAAAAATTATAAGCAAAAAGAATCTTAACTTCTTTAAATGTTATGCAATAACCTTTTTTTCTTTTTTTTTTTTTGATGACTTGACTTTCCTGTCAATTTTTTGTTCTATCCTTTTCTATACATGTGAAACTACAAAATTTCGGAGTTGACATCTCGGCACTCAACACCACGAGTGGCTAGTGGCTACAGTTTCATATTGTCGAGATAATAGGCAAATTTTGAGAATCTTAAATTTAGTAAACAACAATCATCTAACTGACAAAATTCCTACATCATTGAGATCTACGTCTTCTATGTGACTAATCCTCCGTTGTTTGGAGAAGTGCATTCCATAATGCAAAATTTTACTTTTTTGCTAATTCAAGATCTTATAATGAAAATTGATTCACTGAAATTATACCAATATTCATGGATTAGAGATAGGTTCTCGCAACTTCTGATTCTAAACTTTTGTTACTTTCATGTTTAAATAATAAGACTTAAACAAGATTTGATAAATCAGTCTATTATCGATTTAAGCGAAATCTTGAAGTTAACAATCAAATTCGGTTTAAATTGTAATTTAATTAAAACTAATTGATAGTGTACTATTAATTGAATATAATGTTTCAACAAAGAAAGTCATGATCCCACTGTAAAAAAGATTTCACTTTGGTATATGATGAAATTGATCACGTAATATTTATTATGTAGTTAAATTCCAATACCCAATTTTCCAATGCAATTGTGACTATTCTTGGATTGGTGAAAATTTTCTACAAGACTTTAATGCTTTTGCGGAAAATTCAAGCTGGATTTTGGAGACCTCGGAAAGCCCCTCGTGTGTGACGTTGAAAATTGGAAAATTAAACATTTTACTCTAATATATAGAGCACATACATAAAGTATTATACAGGATATAAACCAAGGCTTCTTTGACTTCAGGAAGAAGTTCTGCATAAACCATTGGCAGAAATGGATATTGACTCAGATCTGCAGAAAGTTTTACCTACAGAAGAACATGATTATGATAGAGAAAAAGAGCTGAAGGCCTTTGATGACACAAAAGCCGGTGTTAAGGACTTGTTGATGCTGGTGTAGTTACAATTCCTCGAATCTTTTTCATGCCGCCTGAAGATACACTCTCTGCAAAGTTGGATGATCATGGTAGTTTTCAGGCTCCCATCATAGATCTAAGAGATCGTGCTGCATATGCAGAAACTGTTGAAAAGATCAGATATGCATCAGAGAAATGGGGATTCTTCCAGGTTATAAACCATGGCATCCCACAAGATGTCATCAACAAGGTCATTGCAGGTGTTCAAAGATTCCATGAGCAACCGAAAGAGGTGAAGATGAAATTTTACTCACGTGAGAAGGAGAAGAAAGTGAGATTTATTAGCAATTATGATCTGTACGTGTCGAAAGCTGCAAACTGGAGGGACACTTTGTATTGTGCCATGGCTCCAAACCCTCCACCTCCCAAAGAGTATCCAGTTGCCTGCAGGTAGACTATAGACATACTCTAAGATCTTAGCAACCTTATTTACACAATTATTTGTTAGAAAAATGTTGATTGAATCAAACTCATGAGCTTGAAATGCAGAGAAATATTGATAGAGTACTCAGAGCATATTCAGAGTTTAGGCCAAATTCTTTTTGGGTTGCTATCCGAGGCCCTTGGTCTCAATCCTTCTCACCTCACAGATATGGGGTGCATGGAAGGGCATGTCTTTTTTTGTCACTACTACCCAGCTTGCCCTGAACCTGACCGGACAATAGGACATGCCAAACACTGTGATCCTGACTTCCTTACAATCCTTTTACAAGATCAAATTGGAGGCCTCCAAGTGCTTCATGAAGATCACTGGATTGATATCCCTCCACTGGAAGGAGCTCTCATAGTTAATATTGGCGACCTCTTACAGGTATATACAAGTATAGAAATACAAAGACCCTGAATTTATACACTGTCTTAATCCTCTCTGATCTGCTTCCACTTTCATGCAGACTAAGAAAAAGGCTTGCTCTAACTAATTTATTTTTTGAACAACTCTGTTATTTCCCACTTCTTTCATGACAATCAAAGGCAGTTTTTAGTTTTATCAAGGAATATAATTTTATTTACTGTTTCAATGCAGCTAATCTCCAACAAACAAGTTCAGAAGCGTTGAGCATTAGAGTTCGGGCTAAGCGGGCAGGCCCAAGAATATCAGTGGCATGCCAATTCACCACACTTTATGAACCAACTGACAAGCTTTATGGCCCCATAAAGGAATTGTTATCAGAAGATAGTCCACCTTTGTACAAGGAAACCTTGATAAAGGATTATCTGTATTCCTTCTGCTCCTTGGGAAGTGACAACGATTCTGCACTTGCTTTTTTTAGATTGTAATGATGAAAAGAATAAATGCACACATATTGTAATATATGGGCAAAAGAATAAACATACACAGATTGTAAATTCCCTTCAAGTAATGGTTAATTAAGAGTTGCAGGACTCAAAATTGGGTTAAGTGCACAGGAAGCTACCTAAGCTAGGAGCATTAGTGGACTGAGCAAACCAACTTGGAGTTGGGATATTCAGGAAAGGCAACAATTGTCTCACACTCCCAGGGACATATAATGCTTCTTACTGCCTCGCCATCACTGCTAAGAATTGTGGTAAGTTTTCCTTCTATTCTAAAATCAACCATGATTAGAATTTTTAGAAACACAACCAATCTGATTTTATAAATTCATCAGAGCATCGGTTCCGCCACTAACATATTTTTATGTTTTGGTGAGAAACTAGAAATGAATGCATATGGCGCATCAAGAAACCAAGCTGGTAAATTAGAGATAACTAAATTTGAATATATACATACATATATAGAAACCACAGGAACTCACCAGTTGCCATTTGATGTCAGAAAATTGAAAGCCAACATAGAGGTGTTCCAACAGTTAAAAAGTCCAGGGCTGTTCTCAGCATCAATAGATTTTATCAGCCTTTTAGGAGGTTGCTGATTAGTTTTGTTCTTATTATGGGTCACTCTTCATGCTAGTAAGGCAGTAATGGTTTCCTAAAAAAAGTTATCTTCCCCTTTCCACCTAATGAGGTCAGTAACGGCTTCCTAAAAACTTTTGGTTCTAGTGCATTTTTCTCTTAACAAGGGCCATGATCAATTTAAGGACACAAAAAATACAAATTGGATGTCCTTTGTTCCAGTGCAGGATGATAAAGTTCAGGAGTCATGAAAGCTCTGTGGGAAGAATTTGAATAACTATTACGCAATTTACAACTATATCTTGCATCCTTTTCCCAATATTAATGGCAACTGATGAAATATTAATCTCCATAAGCAAGCAAGCAAGCAGACAGTTCAAATTTTGCATTCAATGAAAAGATACGACAGTCACAATTAAACAGCCGAAAACCCTCACAACAATACATACCAGCACACAGCCTCAGTGGATTAGTCAGAAATATAATAAACTTGTTTAACTGCTAAGAATCTGCCAACATAGATTCATACCATCTAACAGATTAGGAGATAAATCACCATATAAGAAAACTTTGTATTGCTTGAAATGTTCCTCCTAATTTCAAACTATTGCATGAGATCATCAAGCTCCTATAAGTTTAAGCAGAAGATAATGCAGTTAGCATAATTTGAATTTTAGGCACCTTTATGACACATTTAAATATTTTGCATGCATATTGGATTCTGATTATAGAAAGGATGATATCATTAGTTGAATCAGTTTATGTACTAAATGTTAAGTATAAAATAAAAATAGAACTGCCTTCTGCCAATAATGGAACAGAGTAGTACACTAAGTTCATTAGCTCAAATCGAAGCCGTCATTTGGCAACAGAATGGAATGCATCTAGCTACAGGGTATTGAATTGAAGGCCATATGACTCTGACTTCAAGCAACATTATTAAAGTTCTGGATGGCCTGCAGTAATCTCCACTAGCAATCAAGATTAATACACCATCACTCACTTCCAGTTCTTTTCATTTCCAATCTTCATCACTCAATTGACCATCAGTTTCTTCTTTTGGTGGCCTAACGACCAACACCACAGTTCCTAGGCTCTCCTTCACGCCCATTTCCTTCAATGCTGATCCTCTATCCACATTCATCGGGCCACCATCAACCTGCACCAAATAAAACCCATCACCCAATACCACCTCCTTCCTATTCCTATCAGTAACCACCAAAATAGGCTCTTCCACATACCACCTATTTGCCTTCCGCGGTAAAACTCTCGCATCCCCAATGCCACTACAACCCCTCCATTCCTTAACCCAACAACCGATTCCCAACCTGGCAAAACCACCCACCTCTTCCACCCCTTCTCAGCCTCCACTACACCAAAACCCCCTACAGTTCAACATTCCAAAGCTGCTTCCAAAATCTCTCTATCCTCGTTCGGCTTACAAACCGGGAAAACCACCACATTAGTAGCCTCATCAACTTCACCAAACTTCATCCTAACAACTGGAACCCGAACCCCATATTCCAAATCATCTCCTTTCTCTGCCTTTTCATCCTCCCCAGCTTTCATCTCTTCCAACACCTCTCCTTTCTCTTCTTTTTCATCCTCCCCACCTTTCATCTCTTTGCAACACCTCTTTTTTAGAACTCTCAGACTCAGCAACTTCCAATGCTTGCCTTAAAGCAGCAGTTCTTTGTTCAGAAGGATATTCCTATGTTCCCTACTTTGCCTATAATACATAAATGACAAACAATCCGGTGAAAGCTTATATTCAAAACTTTTCCAACCTTTATCCGTTTTCCTTCTTGGGAAATCCTTCATAGCCCTTAGCAAAGTCTTGTACACCCTTTGAATCCAGGCTATTTTCAACTATATAACGAGCAGCTTCAGCTCTTTGTGAAGCACTTAAAGGTCTTATTCGTAAAGCAATTCAGCACCACCAGTATCAAAAAAAGATACAACATTTTCATCAGTTTTGGATTGAATGAGTGACTCTCTTACCTGGGCAGCTACTATTAGTCTATTTTGTTCACCCCAGAAATCCCAATTGATTCTTCTACAGAAGGAGGTGAAAAACCTTCCTGGTAAAAGGAAGGGATAAGTGGGGCATATTCAAACCAAAGTCCAAGGCGGCTGGCTAAGACATCCAAGCGAGCTTGTGGGTCAAGGGAATGGAATTGGGCTGGAAGTGGAGATGGGGGTGCGCTAAAGGTTGGTAAAGCTGTTGCTGCTGAGGCTGGAGGTTAGGGGGGATAAGAGTGGATGAGATGGGTTTAAGGAGGGTTTTAGAAGGTGGAAAGAAAGATGGAAAGAAAAAAGAGATGGGTCTTGGATTAAGAATGAAGAAAAGAAAGGAGATTTGGAATTGGTGATGGGTTTGAGAGAGGCTGATGAGAGCATGTTGAGGAAAAAATAAAGGCAGAATTTTTGCGGGAAAGGAGAGAGAAGGGAAAAAAGGAGAGCTTTGTAGTTGCAGAAGGTTGCCTTGTCTGAAAACTGAAATGCATGGGTTTTTCTTTGGGTTCTTTTTGAAAAAAGAAGGAGCCGAAAAAAAGCGTTGTGAGAGAGATTGGCCCATTTGGTTGGTGGTAAAAGTCAAAACTCAATTTGGCGCAGCATTTTCATATTGAGAAAGAACAGCACATTGGGTTTCCAAGTTTTTGTCAAATTTTTAATTTTTAATTTTCATTATTTTTTTATCACTATAAAATTTAAAAATTAGAAACTTCATTGATATAATAAACATAACTAAGTCTCATTTAGTGAAAACTAAAAATATTTTAATGACATATTTCATATTGATTGAACTTACCATATACATAATAAGAAAAACTTATAATAAATATAATAATATCTCTTTTTGCATAATAAAAACAACTTAAAATCACTCTTAGTTTTATTTAATTTAAAAAGTAAGGAAAAAACTTATAATAAACATCGCTCATATCAAAGCAATAATTGATTTTCATTCTAGAAAATATAAGAAATCTAAATTAGTTCATTGGTTCACTTGAGAAAGAAGATACTGTATCTTAACTTCTCTAAGACTGCATGACTTTTGTAACTATCTTAAAACTATACGGCCAAAATGGATCAATCTTTTACCAAATAGGAGAGATAAATTTTTTTTCCAGGGCTTATTTGAGGGGTAAATTGCACTGTTTTTGGTTGGTAAAGAGAATGTTTAATCGATCGTGAATCGTATAAAACAAGTTCAATGAAATCAAATTAATGAGATCTCAAAGTAGACGTGTGACACTTTCTTGTCGATTATGTTGGACGTTGACTGGGTGGGTAGACTTCACTTTTTTGTTTGTTCCTTCTTTCTTTTATGCTTTTCTGAATCTTTTGATAATAAATAAGTGGGAAATAAAAGACCCTTTGAAGCAGATTACTCTTTCTTTTTTTATTAATTTTACAAATTTTGATCAATAAAAATTAATTTTAATTTATATAAACTCAAATTTTAATTCAATTACTTTATATAATTGATCCAATCTATCATTTAAATGTAAATATCGTGACTATAGTTTTTTTCTATTCCAAGCTACCGCGGCTCCTTCCAAAAAAATCCACAGTATTGTCTTTGATTTTGACCATTTCATGAATATTTACTCCTTTGACAATCAATGAATAATTTTTTGTTTGAAATTTAGTGAAAGCATCAAGAGTGAGCTATGACGTATTTTCCTACTAATGCAGCACTCTCAGGGCAATCTTTACCAACTTTTGATTCAACTTTCTATGCGTTAGTTTTCAAGAGTTCCTACTGCTCAGTATAGATAAACAATAGTAGTTTGAGGAATATAAATTGGCCAATATCAGTATCAAGTTTTCAAGTCATATATGAAGGAAAAAATGAGTGCTGTTACAGTATTTCTTATTGGGTTTGTTACTATTGTTGCTACTGGGATTACCTTTTGTGTGGGAAATTCCAGGGTGCTTTGCATTGACAGTGAGAGACAAGCCCTGTTAACGTTCAAACAAGATATCATTGATCGTTCAAACAGGCTATCTTCTTGGGGTGATGGTGGGGATTGCTGTAACTGGGTTGGAGTTTCCTGCAACAACTTCACAGGTCATGTCTACAAGTTGGACTTGAGGCCTCCAACTCCAGATTATGCAATATTATCAGATGCTGAAATTGGAGTTTATTGGCTCTCAATGCTGAGAGGAAAAATAAATCCTTCTTTGCTCTTATTGAAGCATCTGAGTCACCTAGACCTTAGTTATAACAACTTCGGAGACATCCGGATTCCACAATTCCTTGGTTCAATGAAGAGTTTAATATATCTTGACCTCTCTGGAGCAAAATTTGGAGGAGCTCTTCCTCATCAACTTGGAAATCTGTCAAAGCTGCAGCATCTTAACCTTGGAGATCTTAACCTTGGAGATAATAGTATTAACCGGTTGGTTGAAGCTAGAAATCTTCAATGGCTTTCTGGTCTTTCTTCCTTGAAGTATCTTGATTTGAGTGGAGTGGACCTCAGCAAAGCAACTGATTGGCTGCAGGTAACCAACAAACTTCCTTCTTTGATAGAGTTACATTTGTCAGCTTGCTTTCTTGATAATGATCCTCCACCAATCAGAGTTAACTATACATCTCTTTCCATACTTGATCTTTCTGGCAACTACATATCCCCTTCAGTTCCTAAGTGGATTTTCAGTCTTCATAGCCTTGTTTCCTTAGATCTGAGTGGAAATGCCCTAGGAGGTCTTATTCCCAATAGTCTCCAAAACATGTCCTCTCTCAAATTTCTTGATCTTTCCACGAACTCATTCGATTCATCAATACCTGGTTGGTTGTATAATTTGAACCATCTTGAATTTCTCAGTCTTAGAGGTAACTTCCTACAAGGCAAAATCTCGAGTGCCATTGGAAACTTGAGTTCCATTGTTCGCCTTGATTTGTCAGGAAATCAGCTTGAAGGAACAGTACCAACCTCTTTGGAAAATCTTGTCAATTTGAGGCAACTTGATTTGTCAAATAACAAAATTGATCAGGTGATATCAGAAATTCTGCAGAGCTTGTCTAGATGCTGCTCAGATGACTTGAAGTCATTAAATATGGCAACTAACAATCTTTCAGGCCATTTAAATGATCAACTTGGACTATTCAAAAGCCTATCTTACCTGTCTCTTTCTCAAAATTCCATTTCTGGTCTCATTCCAATCTCCATAGGAAACCTGTCATCTTTAAAATATTTTGATGTGTCAGAAAATCAATTAGATGGCAATCTTCCTCAAAGTCTTGCACAGCCCATGAGTCTGGAATATATGAACATTGCTTATAATCTGTTGGAAGGTACTGTATCGGAATTGCTCTTTTCTAGTCTCACTAGATTGAGAGTTTTAAGGGCATCTCAAAACAAGTTGAAATTTGAAGCAAACTCAAACTGGATTCCTCCTTTTCAATGTCGAACCATTGAAATGGGTTACTGGCTTCTTGGCCCAAAATTTCCAACATGGCTTCAATTTCAGAAGGACTTGTCTACCTTAGACATATCCAGTGCAGGAATTTCAGATGTTGTTCCCTCTTGGTTTTGGAACTTTACTTCTAAAATGGTGTCTCTGAATATTTCTCATAATGGACTTGAAGGGGAGATCCCATTTTTGCCAGTGCATAAATTGGTTGATTTGAGATCCAACCGGTTCACAGGTCCATTGCCAGGAGTGCTCCCTGATGTGGCAACATTGTTTTTCACTAACAATTCATTTTCGGGGTCTCTTTCAGATTTTTTATGTGACAACAAATTAGGTAAACCAAAATTGTTTCTTCTTCAACTTGAAACAAATCTTCTGTCAGGAGAAATTCCAGATTGTTGGTTGAAGTGGCGAGGCATCCGGGTTCTAAATATGGGAAACAATAATCTGACTGGGAAGATTCCAGACTCTTTGGGATCCTTGGATTTTATGTTTCTAAATCTTAGAAACAATAAGCTATCCGGGGAGCTACCATTGACCTTGCAAAAATAATAGAGACTTTTTTATGCTTGATGTTGGTGAAAACCAACTCGGAGGAAGCATCCCAAAATGGATTGGTGAAAGTCTCCCAAATCTTGTGATTCTAAGTTTGCGTTCAAACTCTTTTGATGGCCATATCCCTGAGGAACTTTGTCAGCTCGGTTCCCTTCAAATCTTAGACCTTGGGGATAACAAAATCTCTGGAGCCATACCAAAATGCTTTAAGAATCTAACTGCCATGGTCACAAAACCATATGACACTGATGCTGTCATTGACTATTTCGTGGATGGGGAATTCATAAGGAGTGAATTATTGGTGATGAAAGGAAGAGTGGACGAATACAGCACCACGCTATCACTTGTTACCACCATGGACCTGTCATACAACAATCTCATTGGAGACATCCCCAAAGAACTAGCCAGTCTCGAAGGGTTGCAATCGTTAAACTTATCAGGAAATTCCTTGAAAGGAAAGATCCCTGATCACATTGGCAACATGAGGTTATTAGAATCTCTTGATTTCTCCAGGAACCATTTTCATGGTCCAATCCCTGTCAGCTTCTCCAACTTGAATTTCTTGAGTCATTTGAACTTGTCTTACAACAATTTGACAGGAAGAATACCATCAAGCACCCAACTCCAAAGTTTTGAACAAGTTCTCTTACAGTGGGCAATCACCTATGTGGCCCTCGCCGTCACTGAAGACTGCAGCCACGAATGTTGAAACACCACCTAATTGCCTACAAATGAAGGCAGTCATGTTGAGAAAGTGAAGGGTGGGTTTGAAAAGTATGGGAGATTTTATGTAAGTTTGTGGTGGGATTGGATTTGTGTGGGTTTGGGGTGTAGTAGCTCCTTTGTATTTCATTCAGATCTTTGGGAATGGCTTACTATGAAAACGGTGGAAAGCATTCGTCTTAAGCTTTTCTGCCTTTCGGGACAGATTTTGAGAAATATATGGGAGTGCCGAGTTTTACGCGCCACATCATCCGTTTAAATCTTGAAGGAATTGCTCAACCAGTCCTGTGAGTCAATAGTAGAATGGGAGCCCAACAACAAGTTTTGGGCTTCTTTGTTTTACAAAGTAGTGTTTTTATGAGGCCGGATCGGCATGTGCTTCATCCTTTTGCCTTTTACTCAGTTGTTCTTTTTTGTTCTTTGCTCTTTTGTTCACAAATAATAATCATTAAGTTCTATTATTAAATAAAAGATTTATGTATGACTCCTTATAGTATTCACTTCTACAGAAGAATCTAATGTTACAATTGATCATCCAAGACATCTGGTCACTTTAATTTTGTTTAATAATTATAGAGTATATATATCAATTGATCTTTTTGATTGAAGAGTAAAAAAATGACTGAATTAAAATAAAATAATCATTCAGACTGTTATTATTTTATTGCAATTAATTGATTCTTCAAACTTTTATTTTAATTTAATTGAGTTTTTATTGGGCAAAAATTAAGTAGCCACCATCATTAGTTACATGAGATTTTCAGAATTCCTTGGTTCACTAGGGGGTTTCAGATATTTTCACTATATTTTAGTTGTTACTCCGCACCCTTTTGCTTTTAAAAAAAAATTAAAAATAGATTGTGTCAACTACGAAAGATTTTCATTGGCCAAAATACAACTAAATAATAAAATTAATCTTAAAATTAATTTGCAGGTGGAATTCATTTTGTCTCATATGTAGCTAGTTTTCCCCTTTTTTAGCTCTTCATTTGACACTTGTATAAGTTATAATAGTAGTAGAAAATTAAGAAAAAGAAAAAGGCTTTGCTTCTTCTGACTGGATTACTTGAGTAAAAGAGAAGAAAAGAAGTGAAAAAGCATCTGCAATTAGAAATCTACTACTGTGCCTAACTAAGGTGTGAAAGGGTTCAATAATTATGCAGATACCCATTGAAATGTAATTAAGGAAGGCATTATAACTATGGAATAAGACTGGTGGCAATTAAGGTCTTTGAATGGATTCTGATTCTAATTAGTTTCCAAGCCTACCATAGTGGGGGCTTGACTTCAACATATGAGTCTCCTCTTTTACAGTGAGCAGTGAAGGAGGGGAAGTTTCACTTTGTCCAATTGCTTGGCTTTTTATGGTCATCGAATCTTCTTCAACATTGCTTAACAATCCTTGAATCTTCTCCAATTATATATATCATTTGTATGAACGTTTTAGGTGTACCATAGATTACTCTATATATATATATATATATCTTTTGATTAATTAGAGGGGCTTAGCAAAACAACTTATACGATTATAATTCAATGGTAAATAGGAGAATCAATTGGATTTGAAAATTCTAATCAGTTCACATTAGTTACAGGTAAAATTCGAATCAATTGTCCTTTAAGGTAAGCAGTAAAATGATCGAAGACAAGTTGTGATAAAGACTGAACGTCCCTTTTGGTATGAGTGAATATCATCACTACACATATAGACCATCAATGCAAACTAAGTTTCTTTTTTCGATGGAAGAAGTTCGAGAAAACTTGATTGAACAACTTTGAAAGTTTTTGAGAGTATCATAAAGCTAATATATATATATATATATATATATATATGAGATATTCCTATATCATCTATTTATTTAATTATTTATAAAAATGTAAATTTTAAAAGTATTAAAAGTGATTAATCATAATATTTTTATGAATTTTTAAATAAATAAATTTATTTTTAAATATATAAATTTTATTAATTTATTTAAATTTAATTTAAATCAATTAAAATTAAAATCAATGTTTATGTGAAATTAAATTATCTAAAATTTTAATGTCAAAAAATATTAAAAATGATTGATTAAATTTTTTTAGTAATTATTTTTATAAATTTTAATTTAAATGAATTTTTTTATTAGACGACTCTTTTTTTATGATTAGACTCAAAAAGTACAAAAAATATTGACGCAAATTCTTTGAATAAAATTTTAATTTTAAAAAGTTTAAATTGATTGATTAAAATACTATTAGTAAATTTTTTTTATAAATTTTAATTTAAATGAATTTTTTATTATTAGACCCATTTTTTATATTAAGACTCATATTAATATCTAAAATATGATTTTTCATATCAAATAAATACAATAGAAGGAAATCAATTTATGGAATATAATAGGAATAAGACAATATATAATATATATATATATGTATATATATGAAGTTTATTTCTCTAATTGTTGTAAAAACAATTGCACATGTAATTTACGTCGACAAATAAATTCATAAAGGGTAATCATAATTAAGTCATTAAAGCATTTTTTTTTTCTATTTTTGCCTTTCAATTTTTTGTTCTAATTGATTTGTAAATATATATGTATATTAATGATTTTATTCTTGTATATTTTATGAATTAATCATTTGATTATGATAACCTAATTAAATTTTTAATCCCTTGAAATAATTTTTTTAATATATATTATTTTGCAATTAATTTGACTTCTATAATTAATTATTTTTTAAATTATTAATGTTATTCATCATGAACAAAAATTAATATTATATTAAATGCAAATCAATTGCACACCTTCCAATAAAAATTAGAACTTATGTGATTTGTTGAATCCTTTAAACACTTTAATTGGATATCCCATATGCAGAATTGGATGATTTAATAGGTGGTTGAACTGTCCTGTTAAATTGATATTAAATTTGTTCACTTGACTAAAATAATAAGGGATTTAATTTTTTCTCGATTTTTATCTTAATATGCATATATATATATATATAATTAATTTTCTACCTCAAGATAATTTAATCTTTTTTCGATTATATTAAAAAACGAAAAATGTGTTTGCTTTGCATTGCATTGTTAAATACATGATATCAGAAATTTTATAAACAATTTACTAAAAGTATATTATAACTTAACCAAAATTATATTAAAAATTACCAAAATTACATTAAGGATATTACTAAAAATTTTATAAAAGATTACTAAAATTGGTATCAATTGTTACCAAAATAATAACATAAGTTACTAACTAAATATAAAAAATTACCAAAATTGTTTCATAAGTTATCAAAATTTTACCAAAGATTATCAAACTTTCAATAAATGTTATTAAAATATATCAAAAGTTATTAAATTAAAATTATATAAAGAGTTATCAAATTTACTTTTATTATACCAAAATTAAAATTAAATTATTGATATTTATCATTATTATTATAATATCTGAAAAAATTACTTTATTAAATAAAAAAAATATACGTGTATCACTTACGTGTTAAAAACTAATGTATATATAAGGATGAATATTATTTTCTTCTTGCGTCTTGTAGTCGTGTTGCATAAATCAACTTTTACTTGAGCTCTCAGAATATATTGGAACTTGAAAAGTTGAAATTAAGGCAATGCTGTTTCTAGTAAATAGTAAGTTATTTGGAAATATGATATTGTTCAATTCGCTCGAAAATAGGATGGTCTTCTCACAGCCATAAACAACGAAAAAAGTGTCACTACAAGAAAATAAAAGATTAGTGATAATTTTATAGTGATATTTCACTTACAAATGTCACTAGCTTCCATATTTTTATAAAACTTAAGATGTTTATTATTAAAACACCACTAAATATTTAAATAGCGGTATTGTTACTTATAAACGTCATTCAAAGCTTGATATTAGCGACGTTTATCGATTAAAATGCCTTGAATAATTT